CCCGGGTCCCACAAGGGCAAGCATGTAGACGATTCGAACATTTGATTGGGTTTGGAAAGGTTTCTATGTGGACAATTGAGGGTAGTTTATCTTGTTGCCCACGGAATTGAAATCCCACGCAGACCTGAGATTCGATTAAATTTCGAAAGCCTTAAGCCGAATCGTTCCAACACGATCCTTATAAACGCGCTTTGAAGCATCTTTCCCGCAAAAATCAAATTTACAAAGGGCAGAACCGAACGTCTCCACAGAGATTTTTGCAGATGACCTCTGAGTAAAAAGATCCAACATTGCAACCCTACAACGTCCTCAACCCTGAAAGTCCGGCATGTTTGATCTTCCGGCCGATCGTCTGAAGGGGCGCCTGGTCGTGCCTTCTGCTGCAGCGCGGTGCCGCGTGCTGGAGAGCTGCATCGTTGGGAAAAGCCGGCCCGCTGAGATCCACGGAAGTTCGGACCCCAACGGAATCTCCATTTTCCCGTGCACGGCACATCTGTCCAACTTCACAGGCCAACCAATCCGAACAGCTACAGTTGTACATACATCCACACAATGAAGATGCGAGTGCAGACATCGTGCATAGTATGCAGCCGCAGCCACACACACAGTTTTCCAAACGCTTCAACTTTGGGCAGTCGGCAGTCGAGCCTGCTTGGAGCCAAACAGTACGTAAGAAGGGTCCTAGTAGGTCCTAGTAATGACGCAGGAAGATCGGAATGTAAAGCATCATGTATTGGACCAACAGCCAGTGAGTGAACACTTCCAACATGGTGGAGGCTGCGACCATGCAACACGGTGCACACTCCACAACCCGAAACTCCTTCAGGCGTTTTCGGCCCAAACTGCGCTGTTGTTGGCTTTGGGAGATGCCACCGAAGAAGTTTTGTGTCAAGAGCTTCAACTTCAGGCTTAGATTTGCCGCTTTACAACGAGCTCTTTGGACCGCACTTGAGTCTAGACATCCCCCAAATCCAAAGAGTCGAATCGATGGGCTTTTGCGAGTCTGAAGTAGTTTAGGGTTTTTTGATGTACGGCAACATGTTTTTGCGATGTTCATGGAGGGTGGGCCGTCGCATGCCATGGCTATGTCGTGCCTGTGGAGCCGGAGCCAGGGGCCAAGCTTCGGTGGTGTAGGTGTTACCGCAAAGCATGAGGAAGTCGAGGCAGTAGTTTGTGCGGGGGATCGGGGGGCCAGGAGCTTTTAGGTGTATTGAAGCAGATCATCAGACAGAGTCGGCTTTCTCCACCTTGCAAAGCGCCGCTGGTGGAGCGCTGGGTGAAATTAGATTGAAATAACGGTTACGGTTCTGACTGGAGTGGTGTTGGTGTCTCAGGCCTTAGTACAATAATTGTCCGCTAGTTCTGCATGCTACCGTGTCTAGAGTGAAGTCTGCTTCCTGGAGTGAAGGGTTTGAGGCGAGCAAACGGGAGTCACAGCTCTGCTGTGCTGCAGCAGAAGCGTTGCTGTCACTTTTTTGTTCGGTAGCTTCCTGCAGGTCGCGGATCCTCGCCTGCTGAGTGCCGTGGCCTGCACCTTCCAGGTGCAAAGTGCTTTTTGTTCTAGGGGCCTGGGGATCATGTATGCAGCGCAGGCTTCATGATTAGGGGCGGGGTTGAGCAGGATTTGGAAGGTTCGTGGAAAGCACCAGCACATGGGCGTGACTCTGATTGAGGATGCATTGTAAAACCCAGGATCCTAACTCTTGTGATGGTTTCGTGAGTTTACCAAGACGTGGGGCTAGTGGAACCCGAGCCCAGATTGCTGAGCTGTCTTGGCCCGCAGGTCACAGCAACAATCGGCGAGATCTGTGGGATCTCCTCGTGAACTGCAGCTGACTGCAGCTGATGTCTGCTTGACGAAGCCAATGTGACCAAGGCGAAGCAAAAATCAGTGCGAGTCTGATCAGAGTATTTCGCAGTAGTTGCCAAGCTCTTGCCGGATCTTGGTTCGGAGAAACGGGGAACGTCAGCTCGACATCCCCTTTGAGTGTTAGTCAGTCTGAGTTCTAAACTCGTCATGGCGGGATTGGACAGGGTTTGTAAATTGAAGCTCTCGGGCGCCTAGCACCTCAAACCGTCGGCAAGCACCTGCGATCTCCGAACAAGTCCTGAGGGTGGCAATGCAGTTCTCTCTGTCCCTGCGCCTTTGGGATCGCCCGCTCCAGTCCACTCATTCACTCCCTGGCTCTCTTCCTCACTTGCTGACTCACTCACTGGCTGTCTGCCACCTGGCTGGCTTACTCCCTCATTCACTCACGCACACACGCACTGATTGACTGACTGAACCCCTGACTCACTTACTTACTCGCCCGTGACTCACTCTCTCGCTCACTCCCTCACTCGCTTTCACTCCCTCTCGCTCGCTCACCCATTGACCGAATGACTCGCTCACTCACTGACTCGCACACCCGTCCAGCTACCCGCCCGTGGACTCACACTGCGAAAGACGAGCTACCCGTTGCGATCCGTTGCGCTTATGCAATCTGACCAATCTGTGTAGCAGGGCAAGTCGAAACTCACCGGCTTGTGACTTCCTTGTGTTCTCATAGCTTCTCTCCAAATTTTCAACTCGTCTACGAGTTTATGCTCAGCTTCGTGGTCACATGCGCGATGGAAGAAGCAGTGCAAGCTGAGTGCAGCGCAAACTTAGAGTGTCTCAGCTCCGGTCCTGCATCGCTCTGAGGCGCCTGGAATCATGGAGAAGCGCTGCACGCTGCTCATGGACAGAATGCAAGGGTTATGCTAAAACAGACGGTCGCAGGTGCACCCTTCCTGCTCTCGTCTTGCTCATCCGTTGAGACGCTTCCGTCTATGCCGAAACCCCGGAACCCTGAACCCCCTAAACTCTAAATCGTAGGACAGCGACGTCCACGGTCCGGACTCCTGGCCCGTTGCCCTCGAAGTTGCACGCACCTCCGCCAGCATTGTCCAGGTTTTTTCGGAGGTGCGGTGTGCCGAAAAAGCTGATACTTATCGCCCTGTAATGTGACCAGAAATAGAGGAATATTCTCTAAGCAACTCGCATATGAGCATGCCGCGGATTGGAGAATGATGGCATTTCAAAGGTGAGTTCCTCAGCATCCGGCCTAAGTTACGGGTTTCAGGAGACAAAGCGACCGCTTGGGCTAACGGTACCGAATGTCCACCGTGTCCAAGAAACCCGCCGCCCTCTCCGGAGCCAACACTTGGAGTTGTCGGCAGGCGTATTTGAAGTCTTCACCCTGCGCTCTAGGACGAGTTTGGCGTGTGGACCCTTTGCAAAAACCTACCCGACAAAGCTACTTCAACCATGCGCCGGCAAGTGCAGAACTGGTAAGATCACCTGTGTTTGGCCCTTTGGAACATGCTGCTCCCCTTTACAAAGGGAAGGACGGGAAATGAGAAGGCAAAACGTAGAGATACAGCACTGCGGTCAGATTCGTATTGCTTGGTTGATGGTGAGGTGATACACTACTTGCAAGAGACAGTGGCTCCAGTGCTGTGTATCTTGACTCAGGTAACGAAGGATCACTCGTGGCTTCGTCAATTTTCATAGCCGAGCCCTGCCCGGAACATGGCTGTTGCTGCTGTTGTGAACTTGTTTGTTTGCTTGTTTTCTCTGTCTCTCTCTCTCTCTCTCTCTGTCTGTCTCCCTCTCTCTCTCTCTCTGTCTCTTTCTCTTCGTCCCTCAACCTCGCTCCGTGTCTCTGATCTTTTCTCTCTACCTCTCGCGCGAGCCCTCTCGCACTTATTCATATCCAACAAAAACTCGTGCGCGCATGCTGCGCACAATCACATGTACGGATGTAAATGCACCATGTATTCAGATCTAGCTAGGATATGGATATACATACTGCTATGAATGATATACACATATACACGCACAGAGGGGAGAGAGAGATGGACATACACAGCATAGCTCGCCGTCTGCTGGAGCACTCAGCTGGCAAGTTGCTTAGGTTCTGAAAACTAAGGAAGGAACTGGATTCACGGAGGACACTGACTGGGCCAAGCGGTTGCGTGAGCTCGGTGTAGAGCCAAAGGTGGTGCCCGCAAAGGAGCCTCGGGGACCAGTCTGGGTGGATCGGGTGTGGCCGTGTGGCAGATGGTTCGGGTAACAGTAACACTTGCAAACATGGGCCTTAGTAAGGTGTCTTGGTGTACACTTGTAGTTGGAACATATGTACTGTATATACATATATATATATACTTATCTATATGTATATATATATATATATACATACGGTTATCATTTTGTATGACATGACATTATAAAATATTATGCAGACACTAGGTACTAGGGTTATGAGGGCCTATTCCTTAGACCCCACACACATGTGACAGACCGAGCTTCTGGCATGACCGCAGAGGAGGCGAGCATCGAGCTTTGTGCTGAAGCTTTGCGCTTGGTCATGGAGGAAGGTGTCAACATCGTCTGCCTGGCTGCTGCGTGGTGAAAGATGATGTAGCTCAATAAATAGTAAGAGCAATAATTAATAATAAAAATAATAGCAATAATAGCACCAGTTGTAATGGTCCAATGGTAATAATACCAGTAGCACGTGCATCTTGATTTCTTCGGGGGTCCGGCAGGGCCAGCCTTTAGCTGCGGCCATCCCGAGGTGAAAGAATCTGACTTCAAGTACCTGTCAGAGAAACTTCGCACTGCGGGCGATAGTGCTGGCAAGAAGCTCCTTGGAAAAATGCCAGGAGAATCGCATTCGTGGCCATCTTGCTGAGAACCGCACGAGACCCTGAGGTTTTCCATACTCGAAATCGGCAGCCCGAGCGCGTGAGACCAGCAAAAGTGATCAGCTGCACTGCAGGGCAAAACCCTGAATCCCACAAGTCCAAAAACCTGGACTCAAATCCCAGACAATGCCAGACGTCACCAAACCCCGAATGCCTTCAACACTGCACACCCTATGACACTGCTAGAATGTCAACAGCTCTGGACGGATTGCTGGTAGGCAACGTAGTAAGAGTGTGAGGGGTTTCAACAAGACAACTCCGTGTTGCAGGTCACGGATATTGGCTGGAGGGCCATTCGGATGTTCTTTGAAGATGAGTCGGGAGCCTGGGCCAAGACCACTACGTACTGTAGTTCGTGATTCCTCCAATGACTCAGCTGCTGATCCTATTTTGCTGATGCCGGTTTCGGGAATCTTGGTGAATCCGAAGAGAAGGTAAGGGTCACTTCTGTAGCCATGGGTGAGGCATCGAACAAACGGTATGGTATTCGGGGCCAAGCGGAGCGCATCCTAGGCTGCAGCCTGCCTGGCGGCCACTTGTGCTCGACGAGAGGCTGTTGCTCTGGTTTGGCTCCACATGCTGGACACAAAGTGCCGTTGTGCTATCTTCCGCTGAAGCTCCTTCGTCTCTGTCTCTGCCTCTGCCTCTCTGCCCCCTCTCTACCCCGTCAACACTTGAAGCGAAGACGCCAGTTAGCTCGGTGGATCCTTCAGGCCGCTGCCTTGCAGCGCGCTCTGGTTCAGTGAGAAAGAGCTGCGGGCCTGGCGCCCAGTCATGTGATGCGTAGTGGCCATTGTCATTGGTATTCTTTGGTGGCGTTTAATGACTGACGATGCTAGCTAAGTGTACTTGCTCTTAGCAGCCTGAGAAGGGGGTCCAAAGCGGCCTCAACACAAAGCAGCTGAGCACTTTGCCTCGTCTATATGGCACTTGCTTCGATGGGCGGCCGATCCCCCGACGAGGAGAAGCGAAGCAGACAAGCCACCTTGATTTGCTTGACACTTCGTGTGCTGAGGTTGGAGTTACACCCGAAACCGGATGGCGAGATGTCCTCGTCTTTTCGGCGTGCTTGGAATGACACGGACTTGGTCCCGCAGTCCCTCAAAATCCCCCCACTCTCCCCCAAATGTCCCAGCATGGCAGGTGCCGCAGCTGGCCGCCAAAGTCAGCCGGCTCCCGCGGCAGCGCCTCCGCGCTCGCCGTCGCCAGGCCGAGGCCGAGACGCCCCGCATGACGCCACTTCAAGGGCCTTCGGCCTTCGATTTAAACTTACTGTAGCTCTTTTACAGCAGGGCGCTAAGCCGCTAGGCTGCCAGCACCCTGGGCTCCGCTGGCTTCCTGGTTTCGTAGATGCTTCGCTTGCCCAGAACCCTGGTCCGGCATTCGATAGTCAGGGTGAACTCGCTTCTTCTGGTTGTCAAGCATTGACGGATTGCAGCTTCACAACCGGCAGCTGGCGCCGTTGCCCGTATTCCCGACAGAAGCAACGTTCCGCGCTGGCCCGTTCCGGGGAGACACGCGTAAAAGCTAGAAGTGCATGACAGCACATGTAGAAAATGCAGACCTTTGCCCAGCAAGTTGCCTGGACGTGCCTCGCTTCCCCACGAGATTAGAACGAATTGAATTTGAAGAGTTGCATCTGCATTGGCATCGAGCATGCTATGCTGCAGCACAAAGACGGCCTCGCAGGCTGGCTTGAGGAGGTCGCTTGGTGGCTTAGCTGTGTGATCAATTGACTTTGCACGAGTTGAACCCTGATGCCTAGTAAACAAGCTGTGTTCGCCGCAGCTGGGGGACCACTGCCCCGCATTCGTAACCGGTTTCGTAGGTGGTGCAGCTGCGTTTGAAGGACTTCAGCGGTGTAGAACTGACGCTGGAAGCATGGCAACTGCCATTCAACATATCGAAAGGATAACGTCAAGAGGGAGATCCTCAGACTTGCAGACTTTTACTTTGGCTCTAGAGTCCAGAGTCCAGTCTTAGTGTAAGTTCGGTTCGAGCTGCAAGGAGTTGAGGGCAAAGCGTCGCCTGAGGTGCAAGCAGCTGGCTTGGCAGGCTACCGCAGGCCTTCTCGAAGTTTTTTACATAGATCCTGGCGAAATCCGTCCGGTGGAGTGTGATTAGCGGGTTTAGGGTTTAGGGGTTTTTAATTGCAGCTGCCGACTCCACGCTGCAAGTTGTACTGCAGCTGACTTGACGAGTCTTCTCCAGGTCAGCATGCGCGTGGCACAGCTGTCCCGCGGAGCCGTGGACGAGGCTTGCGGCTTTGCTTGGAAGCTTTGTTTCGAGCAAGGTCGTCTTGCCTTCGGTTGCAGAGTGTTCTGTTGGCTCAAATCCACAGAGGTGAGAGAAGCAGCGGCGCTGCTGGAGATGCCAGCCGCTCCTGTAGAGCAGCCCTCTTTGGTGGCATGGACCTCAGGCTTCTGGTGTCTGAAGGCCGCGCTGATGAGCTCTGGTTCGGGGCCGCGAGGTCGCAAGAACCCAGTTCTTCAGCCAGGGCAAGCAGGAGCATCTTGGATCCAGCGAAGGGTCGCCTGCGACGTCCTGTCCAACCACTTACGGTCGGCCTCACAGACCTCAAGCATATCTTGGCGAGGAGACTTACGTGCTCTACAGTAGTGATTCCTGCGCCGTAACGCCGGACGCCAAGAGTGCAACATGACACCGGCGGGCACAGGCTTGATGAAGAGCACGAATGTGACGAAGATGGTCATCATTAGAATGATCATCGCGAACAGACACCGAACAGAACACATTCGTCTTAGCATTAGCCTAAGGCTTAATGTCTGAGCATCAGTAGTTGGTAGTGGTGGTGGTGGTAGCAGTGGTGGTGGTGGTAGTGGTAGTGGTTGCAGTTGCAGCAGTAGCAGTTGTAGTCGCAGTCGCAGTAGTCGTAGTCGTAGTAGTAGTCGTCGTCGTCGTAGCCGTAGTTGTTGTAGTCGCAGTAGTCGTAGTAGTGGTTCAGTGGTACTAGTAGTGGTTTAGTTTAGTGGGGCCACTGCCAGTGCCACTGCTCCTAACGACCGCTAACAGCACTACTACCACTCCTACCACTACTACCAGTACTACCACTACTACCACTCCTAGTACCGCTACTACCACTACTATCACTACTATCACTACCACCGGACCACTGCGAACGATGACGACTGCTTCGGCTGATATGGTTTTCGATACTGCTACTCGTGCTGCTGCTGGTGCTGCTGGTTCTTGTGCCGCTGCTGCTACTGCTGCTGTCATTAAGCCTACGTGTTCGAAGAACGTGTCTTACTTACCATGCCGCAAAACAAGAGTGAACAAGAGCCGTTTCCTTGTCAATCCTCAGGCTCCGGCTTTTCGAACATTGGAGGAGCCCTGCGAAGGAGGCCAGGGCGCTGCTTCCTGGATAATGCATGTAGTTAGGATAGAGTGGTGGCAGGATCAACGAGAGTATTGGTTACTGATCATATGACAGCCCAGTGCTGATGAATCTCGACGAAGCAAGGGCTTGCTGTGGCGCTGCAGACGTGTATCTCCAGACCGAAGACATGTTGTGTTTACCTGCGCGACACAGAGGCCGCACAAGGATGAAGGGCCGCTGAAAAGCCCGTACTAGGATGACCTGTGGGAACCTGCTTAACACCACGTTTGCTAGAGGCCGGCATCACCGTGCTGGTGTTCGGTGGGGCAGCCGACCTAAATCGCGAGCTCACGAAGCTGGAGGAGCAGATTTCCACACATATTTTGCTGAGAGTGCTAAACTTTAGGCTCGCGTAACCGATGTTGCCTGCTATCCAAGTGACTTCTGTGAACAGGACTTGCTACTCAACCAGCTGTCCGCGCCTGAGTCTTCTTTGGTGCAAGCACTCGGCACACCATGCACTCAGCTCCACACACTAACCTAGTCCGCTGAACTTCATGGGCATATTGTTAATCGTTTCGCAGAGACACCTAGCGAAAAGAACTTTGAAGCACCTGGTTTCCGGAAGGCAAGACCAGGGCTTTGGCACTGTTGTCTTTGTTGGACTCTGTGGACAGGGTGACCCGCGCGGGCCACAGATAGGTCTGATGCCTCTCCAGACTCTTCCGGTCTTTTTTCAGAGAAGCAGCTCCGTTCATTCGGCTGCCAGTCAGTTTAGCAGAAGCACTGAATGACTTCGCTGTTCTTCCACTTTCGTTGACGTTGCAGTGTGCAGTGTCTAGCTGCTTCAGCTATGACCGAATTGCGATGAGGTTCTGGCGAGGTGGCCTTTGGCAGTTTGCCCCATTACTGCTAGGCCAGGCAAGGAGAACAAGCTGGCACTCTTACGGGAGCATGACAGACAAGTAAAGGAGCATGAGGGTGGAGCAGTCAAAAGAGTGAATTTGCCATAGAATTTAAAATTCGTCTACACTTACATGTTGGTTTGAGCCTCTGATTTGGCGCTCATGTTTGTGAGCTCAGCTTTGGGAGTTCCGGCAAATCCCGAATGCTCCAGGCAAATCCCACGTCGGCTACCACGCGTCGGAGGCCGACTGCTCGATTGTGTGTGGATGAGGGACTGGCTTCGCAGAGGATGCCCAGCCGCGGAGTTATGCAAGGCATGCAGCAAGTGCTTTTCTGGAAGAGTTGCTCTATCCAGCCCAGTGGAACAGATGGCAGGTCCTTGCCACCGTGTCATGGGCATTCAGGCAAGTCCAAAAAATTGAGAGTCCTTTTCAGACTCCATTGCCTTGCTTCTTGCATTAGCCCCCGGACAACTGTGACCTAAGGGCTTCTCCGTCAAAGCTTAATTCTGGTAGTTGTAGATTGATGTGAACCCACCACAGCCTGTCCGGCGAGGGGAAGGCCTGTTTTATCCCCGTATTGGGCTCGCAGAAACTGATCCATCGAAGAGGCAAACGATCACAGCCTCGACGATCGGCCAGAATTGCACCTACCTGCCCAGAGCACAGACTTCTCGATCCAAACACCCTGGCCTGAAACATGTCGACACTCCGGGGACACATTGAAAATTCGCAGGTGTATGACTTAGATCCTGCTAAGCCGTGTTAGTTGTCACTAGGCCCCTATTCCGAGCGCCGACCGTACCTCCAGAGGAGTATGCGTAGAGAATGCGCATCAATGGACAGGGCAGATCACATAACATCTCCCAGTGCAGGCAGTTGAGATCTCAGCAGGCCTTTGCCTCAGTGTTCTGCACATGAAGAGGTTACTCTGTGCGGTGCTGCATCTTAATTAAACCCCAGGCCCTCGACCAGGAACCTACGAACCCCAAACCAGACCCTGCGGATTCGGCTTTCCGGCTCTTGCACTCGAAGCAAAAACTCTGTGTCCAAGACGTCAGGCAGGCGAGAGGCCTCGAAGACTTCAGTCACAACAGCTTCTCTGCCCAATGTTATTTTGGGGGAGGAAGAAGAAGATCGGAACCCCAAACCCCTTTCAGGCCCCTGGCCCCAGAGGCCCCAGAAGCCTCAGACCGATGGCTATGGCAGTGGTCTCCGTGGATTCCGAGCGCTCCGACCGGAGTAGCCCGCTGAGCCGGCGTCGCAACTGGTCCTTGTCCGCTCTGCGGCGCCTCGGTAATTCAGAAGAAGTCGGTACAATTAGTCATAAGGGGCCACCACCTAAAACCGAAAACGTATGTGTATGATATGTATATAAATATGTATATGCACTTGTACATGTAGTTTTAGATGTAGATCTGTCTGTATATGTATAAGTACATGTAGATCTAGATGTATATGTATGCAAATATACAATCGGAGCGTTTGAGAGTTTCTCGTTTTCGACAGATTTCGGAGCTTTTAGACGGTCTACAGGCTTGGGGTTTGGGGAGATCAAGCGCAACTCCAAAAAGTCACTTCTTCGGGCGTTCAGGGTTCAGGCTTTTTGGGCTTGGGATGTTCAGTGACTATTCAGTGGTTCCTATGATGGTCTATGCTTCAGGGGCGTAGGGTTCGGGCATGAGACGATAGGATGCCCTGATCAGGACCGCATCATCCGAATCCTTAGGTGCCGATGACGAGGCAGCAGGTATAGAAAATTATGTCCTGCTGGAGAAAATCGGGCGCGGTTCAAGCGGGCAGGTCTTCCGGGCTCGAAGAAAGGCGGACGAAAAGGAAGTCGCTCTGAAGGTTATGTCTGCAACCAGTCCGGACGTGGTTGCCTCACGCCGCGCAGAGTTCGATATACTCTCTCGCCTGAGTCATCCCAACATCGTGCAAGGTTTGGAGTTCTTCTGCTCAGACTGCACTGCAGTCATCGCCCTGAGCTACCACTCGGGTAGCACGCTGTACAGAGCGGTCAGGGACTCCGCGTCTTCCTGCTTGACGGAAGCAGACTCCAAGCGGCTCTTCCGCAAGCTCATCTCCGCAGTGTCGTATCTGCATGAGCATCGCATCGTGCATCGGGACGTGAAGGCCGACAACATCCTGGTGTCGTCTGATCTTATGGACTTGCATCTGGTGGATTTCAACACTGCGAGGCCACTTCTGGAGGGTGGCGCTCTTACTATGACAGGGACCCCCGAGTACGCTGCTCCGGAAGTCTTGAACGGAGAGTCGCCTTCGGAACAGCACGACGTTTGGGGGGCCGGCCTGTGCCTGCACTGGATGCTCATGGGGGCTCTTCCGCAGCGTTTCAGTGGATATCCGACTGCCTTTGCACCAGTGACATGCCACGGTATGCAGTGGGAAGCCATTTCTGTGGAGTGTCGGGATGTGGTGCAGCGATGCCTGACTATCTGCAAGCATGAACGCCCGGCAGCACTGCTGGTTCTGCAGCTCCCATGGGTAGAAGCAGAGCCGCAGGAGCAACCAAGGACCTCCTCCGATCAGACTGCCTCGCGATCTGCGTGCATGATGATGTCGTACCGCCTTGATGGGCCCCTCTTCACATCGTAGGCTGCCGTATTCTATTGCGAAGCTTGTAATTGCGATAGGCACAGAATGAATTTCCTGCGCAACCTGACTCTTTCCCGAAGTAGAGAGCTCCAGTGCTCGTTCACTGTTTTTTGCAAGTTGTTCTACCAGCCGTAAAGGGTGCAAGAACTTTGTTTTATGATTTTCGGCTGCGGCTTCCAGATGTGCCACAGGTGCGTAACGCCCATTCAAGGGATTCCTGTTAAACAGGAAATCTGTCAGCAGCTCTCGCTCACTGATTGAGAGCCGGCACATCAGCTGGACAAGCCCTAGATGGTTGAGGAGTCAAAATAAGCTCATGCCCTATCTGCAATGATATACTTTGTTCGTTTTTGCTGTTGGGGCAACTGTGGGCAACTCAACCTACGTTTCTTCTCTCACATCCAGTTAGTACAAGATGCCATGCCGCATTAATATTTTATTTGGACGACCGAAAAGATGCATGTCATCGAAGTCATTTAACTATTGTGCTCAAGGGGTGCAAAGCCCTGGTCGATTGCTTCCCACAACCCCTGCGCACCAGAGGCGACCTGCTTCAAGTCAACTGTGCAGCTGCGCAGTGAGTCAAAACGAGATTGCACAGCGCAAGGCTTGCAAGAGCATGCGGACTAAGCCGAATGAAAGGGGACATGGCTTCCAACCTCCTAGCAAACCCACCCACCCACCTACTTCCATACAGCACCGAGGTTCTGCAAACCATCTGTCTGCCCGCGTTTGTGGGTGCGTTTCTGTGCAAAGAAGTATGATGTGTTGACCTGCATATACAGACGACTGCGTGTGTGCACGTAAAGTTACGCACAGTTACACGGATACAGGCATACAGAATAGGGGCAGGTATGCATGCATACGGACATTCCTACATACCTGCTGTCATGCAAGCATGCAGAGACACTCGGAGCACATACATGCAAGCAAGCTTGCATGCTTACATGCTAATGTGCTTACATGCTAACTTTCTTGTATACTTTTGAGTGATGAACCGAACGGTCACAGTATCACAACAGCCATCACATCGCTGGTGCCCTTCCCGGCGGCCATCCCACACACGCAGAGAGAGAGAGAGAGAGAGAGATATATATATATATATATATATATATATAGATATATACATGCACACAAACAGGCAGACCCCATATTCGTGTGCCTGCTGAGCATGCCGAGTCGAGGTTGTTCTGCTCGCTCGCGGCAGCTCGAGCGCAGCTGTGCTGCATGTCCGGGTCTCTGATATGGCAACGTGCCGTCGGGGAGCTGATTTTGTGGAGTGAGCTTTGGGAGCGCATCCGACGTGCATCCCATAAAATCCCATAAAGGGCACATGAGCAGCTCCTTTCAATCGAGTGTGGATCTATTGACAGGCAGCTCCGCACGTCTCGCCGACGAAGTTACTCAGCTACGAGCATTTATGTAATCAGCGTTACGCGCATGCATGCTTCAAACTTGCTTTGACCCACTTGTCCTTTGCGATGCGTAGAATCCTTGAATGGTATAGCATCTGCTCGTGACAGGTGCCACACCTGGCAGCTGTGGTGCTGCTACACGCAGTAGCTGAGCTAGCCGAGGTGGCCATGTACCCGGAGCCAGCAGTCATTGTAGTGAATCGAAGTGACGAACCACAAATCGCCATGCAAGCAGGCCCACCAAAACTTGATAAGAGCATGCACGCCGGCACCCCCTAGGCCTGTGCTCGAAAACATCGCCTGCCGTTCGGGAGCTCGGGATGCATGGTTCCGTGATGTTGTAATATGAGCCTTTCTCTGATAGCCCCGACTTCAATGAATAATGTTCAGAGATGTCCATAGGGTTCGGAGCAACATGGAGCAATTTGGGGAAGTACACACCCATGGCGAAACTTGCTCCCCCGGTTTGCACTTGAGGACCCGCATCACCGTAGCTTGCAGTCAAATTCGTACTCAAGGTGGCAGATGCAGATCCATGGTGTGCTGCGACACTATGACTTGCCAGACCTACTGGCAGCACGACACCGAGCTCAGCACATCAGCGGAATTCTCTTGTTAGCTAGTCTGCTGGGGTTCTCGTTAAAACGCTTGTGGGAAGTTAGGGAGTTGATCGAATTCGCTGTGCAGCGTTCGCGAATGTCGCTTCAGCATGAAGCATCAAGGAGCAAACATGAGCAAACCTGGGTGGAGGGTGGCGTTGGCAGGGTCGTGGATTATGGCGGGCTGAGGGCAAAGGGTTTCGGGCTCGTGGCGCCTATGAGATTATTTGTGTTTTCAATCCTTACGTCTGGTAGCAGCCCCTGCTGGCCGGCCTTCAGGATCAGAAGCGGTCGTGGGAAGTTTTTCGACTAGATACTAGTCTGCCGCGCAAAGTTCTGGCATTCCTGGCATCCGTGCCCAGGCCCTCCCGGCGTCCGTTTCCGTGGCCGTGGCGAGCCCGCTAAGTGCAAAGCGACGGCGGCTGCCGGAGCCTCGTGGGTTTGTTCAAGGTGCCCGGAAGGAACTCCGAGTTTCAATCTGGGGCTGAGTGGTTTAAGCATGTTGGCCCCGGGCAGCAAAACCAGCGCCCACGCCCAAGCTGAGAAGTTTGCAAAGAACGCAGATGTGAGCAATCAGCCTGTTTGACTGCTAGGTCCTGGAGGCAAGCCTGTCGAAGCTATCGGCTGGCTGCACGTCGATTCCAAGGCAGCGAGACCATGCCTTGCCTTGTTTGCCATCTACCTGCACGAATTCCGGCACGTTGTTACAGACATGGACATGCTCTTCTTGATTGCTTCGTGTTCTGGGTGTTAGCCGCCACTAGCCAGCCTCCCCGATGTTATTCCTGTGTTGGATCGGCTTGGGCAGGCAGGTATGTTGAGCCTGTCGCACTCCTGTCCCTGCTTGTGTCAGGTATGCGCATGCGGATCCTGCTTGGCAAGGGCCCTGAGATATGTTCCAGTGTCGGTACCTTGTCGAATCCCCTCGTGTTCATCCTCGTCGCCATCGTCGTATTCATGGTCATGACCATGTGCACTTGATGAGGACACTAGCTCTCAACATCTCTCAGCCCATGAAGTTGGATGATGAGTTAAACTTTACTAGCAAGAAGAGGCCTCGTCATCTTCGTTGCAGCAACTGTTGGAATCCATATCAGTAGGCATACTTGTACGAGCAACGATAGCAGTCGTCATTTTGCTCATCATCATGACCACCAAAGTCATCATCACCAGAATCTTCATCGTCATCGTCGTTAGCATCGTTACTTGTTCTCAGATTGCTTCGTAGACGATGGCAGCGGCCGTCTGACTCTGAGGTCAGGACGGGGTGACCTTTCGGATCGCGAGATTCCTGACGATACTATTTCGAGGCCACGGCTAATACTACTTCACGGGATGCTCTGGAGTCCAAGCCCTACATCCGGTTCAATCTCCCAACCCGAAGCTCAAATGCAAAACCTGCTGCAGCTCGTGGTGGCATGTTCCAGGTGGTATCCACACGTGAATGCCGACATGCCGGATCCTCGGTTTGCTCGAGATGGAGACGAGCCGGGGGGAAACTTTGGCAATTGGACGGCGCCGTGTAACATGGGACAAGAGAGAAAGCGGAGCATATCGTCGAGGTAATGAGCGTGGTGCTGGCAATAAATATCTAGTAACAATCAGCATGAGCTTGCTGGAGCCGTTTGCCTCGGGAATCGAGACGAATCGAGTTCGAGTCGCAAAAGACTCGAAAGCTTTCTCGTTGCCTTGATTGCCATGTCCGGAAGCCTGCTGCAGCGGCGCAGAAACTCTGGGGTGAAACCAGTGCCCCTGAACATGCAGCCCTGACCTTAGACTGGGGGTCAAGAAAATGTGTGAAAGTCTTCTTTAAATCTACTTAAACAGCGGGGGAGTCCTCACTGAACTTGTAGATGACCGCATGCTCGGTTGGAGCCACAACTTGATTCACTTGTTCTTTGCCTAGTCAGTGGTGGTTTCCAGTGCGAATTTCGACCGAGTAAGCGTCATGTCTCATGTTGCCGCCTTTGACGTAGTAGAACCCTGGAGAACCAGACCTTGCAACCATATCCTGTACATATGACCTCGCATCGATTTCTTTTCGATGTGTCAATATGCTATATCCTTCATGGATCCATTCTGCCGGGGGACCCAAATGTTGTTTCACGCTCCCTTCAAGCCCCAAAACAGAGCTGAGCCATGCTGAGCCAATCGGCTGGAGGGGCCTGACTCGCCCTTTTTGCCCTGGAGAACAGGGAACAAGGAGGCAGAGAGACAGAGACACAGAGAGAGAGAGAGATGTGGACTACACGCGTGTAAGAAATAACAATCGTGCTGCAGTGCCTGGAGGTTAGGGATAACAGCTGACTCCCGTGGCCATTTGGGGGTCAAGCCCGCCACCGGGAGTCATTGATCGGCTGTCTTCCTTTTGTTGCCTTGTATGGCGGCATTGGCAGGAGGGGGAGGTGCACCTGGCGGTGGGGCGCTCGGGCCCCCTGCTACGGGGCCCTTTACCGCTGCCGAGATAGCCGCAGTGACCACCCTGGCTGCGGCTAAGGATTTGGCAGGCGTTAGTGATGAGGCTTGGGGAGTTTTGCAGCGGTCCATTGGTGGAGCACCTTCGCTCCGGGTGTTGGGATCTATCCCCGCCATTGCGATCGTAGCTTCTATCCGAGCCTCGCGCATGCCTTCTCCCACCGCGGCTGATCCCACCGCGGTACGGGATTTTACGATCCTCGAAGCCACGCAACTTGGGTTGATGTGGAGGGCGGCGAGGCTATCGTTGGGACTGCCCGATCAAGACCCTTATGACCCTGTGGCACCTGTGGGCGGTGGTGGAGGGCCGGCTGCAGCCGCCCTTTGTCCCGGCCGGGGTCGCAGGAGGAGCAGGAGACGGGGCCAGGAAGGTCAAGATGAGCACCGTCCTCGACCAGGGTGACGACGGAGAGGTGCCGAAGTTAGACCAGATGGATGTGGACGAGTTCTACAGAAATCTGGAAAGGGTCAAAGGGGGGCCAGTGAGACCGGAAGCCGAGCCGACCCCGGACCAGATTTCGGCCATGAAGGTAAGAGAATCATCGACCTGGGCCTGGCCCCCTACGCAGACTTTGCCCTCTTTGTAAATTTCCAGTCGAGGTTTTCCAGGTCCCTCAAGTTCCTCAATCACGTCCTGCAACCCGATGGCACCTTCAGAGCCGTCGAGGTGGCGGGCCCTCCCAATTTCGACTCCTGGCTCACCTCCTGGCACGTTTTCGAAAACACCTTGCTGATGTTGAGGAGCCAGGACCCCACTACGGGAGGGGACGTCCAAATCGTCGCGCAGTCCACGCTGGACCTCTACCGGGAGACTTTCAGGGACCTGGCTGGGAGGTACTCCGACACATGGCAATGGCACCTGCTGGTGACAGCGGAGGACCGGTGTAGGGCGGAACACTTCCCCCGGGTCAAACGCCTTCTTCAGGAACGCCACGCCCAAGCACTCGCCCCCGACTACGACGCAGCAAGGCCGTGGGATGCCGTGTTTAGGTACGCCTGCCAGGACAGGGCGTATTGGGACGAACACGTTCGTGATCCCGCCCTCCGCTTCCTCGCCGCCAGGGGGAATGGTACAAAGAGGCAGATTGGCGGAACGGGGCAGGCCACGGACCGCACCGGAGACGGGGTGCCTCCCCCTCCGGCGCCGACTGGCACCCCTCGCAAAAGGCGCAGGAGGCGAAGCACGCCAGCGAAGGAGCAGCCGACGCCCCCTACCACCCCACCGCCCGCTCCCACGAAGCGGGAGGAGGGGGAAAGGTCTCAGGAAGGACGCGCAGGGAAGGTACACCACCGATCGCCAGGGCAACCAGATCTGCTTCCCGTTCGGCATCGGCAAGTGCAAAGGGGTCTGCGCGCAGGGCCGTTCCCATGTTTGCCAGATCTGTCTGGGGAGCCATCCCTACTCTAGCTGCCCCAAGAAGGGGCGGGCTCCCGACAACTGAGCGGACGTAGCCCCCCCTCCGGAGCCCACGGAGGAGAAGGGGGCAGGAGGCGGGGCAGACGTGGCAGCGCATGTGGCACGGCAAGGTGGTGAGAACGGTAAGGCCCGGTTCCTCGCCCGGTTCCTCGAGCTGTTCGCTGGGTACGCGGGCTTGTCGAAGGCGGTCAAGGAGGCCGGGGGCACGAGGGTCGAAGTGTTGGACCCGGCCGACAAGATCGTTGGCGACAAGACGTTGGACCTCAGCGATGACGACGAGTACGCCCAGCTGCTTCAGGATCTGAGGGAGGTGCCGGTGGACTGGGTGCACATAGACCGGCAGGCACCACGGCGGAGGAGAAGGAGGCAGACCTCCTAGCCGAACGGTGCGTGGGGATAGCCGAGCTGCAGCTCGAGCTAGGAAAGGATTTCTCCATCGAGAACCCCGAGGGATCCCTGATCTGGAAGCTAAAGCCCTTTAAGAGGTTGCTTAATCAGTGGAACGTGAACTTTGTGGTGCTGGATCAGTGTGCGTACGGTGGCCCCTTCAGGAACCCACCGGCCTTCTCTGCAGAGCCCCCTGGATCGCCGATACGGCGTTTACGGCCTCATGGAAGCGATCACGGAGGCGACTGGAGACCCGGACACGGATGTTGCATCTTGGTTCAGGGACGGCGCCCCTTTGGGGATTTTGAACGCCATCCCAAACCGAGGCGTCTTCCCCGAGGCGGGGCTGTCAGAGGCACAACGTGCGTCACAGGAATACTACGAAGCCCGGGGGGCACCCGAGGGCAGGGAGAACTACCGCTCGTTTGAAGAATTTGCGACGGAGTCGGAGGAAGAGCTCCAGAGATTGGTCCGGGAAGGCCATCTTGAAAGAATAGGAGAATGGGAGGACGTCGTTGCCCGGTGGCCCGACGCCATCACCACCCGGATCGCAACGATCGTCAAGGAACGCCCGGACGGCACCACGAAGACTGGATATGCGCCGCAGCGGGGTTAACGGTTTGGCCACGAAGTTCTCTGAGAGGATTGTGTTGCCAAGGGCACAGTGGAGGGCATCCTGGACCTCCTCCGGAGGCGCAAGCCCGGAGAAGAGGTCTACCTCATCACGGTCGACATCGCCGACGCTTTCCTCAACCTGCAGGTCAAAGAAGAAGAGCGAGCGTACACGATAGTCCGGGGACAGGACGGCACGTACTACGCATACAAAGGCGTTCCCTTCGGGTTGGCCACCGCACCTCTCCTTTGGGGCAGGGTGGCGGCGTGGCTCATGAGATTTATTCAGGCAAGCATGGCAAGGGACCGCGCAAGCCTTCAGTGCTACGTGGACGACCCATTGGCGGCGGTCCGAGGCGCCGCCCGCGAGGCGACGCACATCATGCTCATGATGATGGTAGCGTTCTCCGTGGTGGGCGCCAGGCTTGCGATCAAGAAGTTGGCGGCGGGACCGTCGGTCCCCTGGATAGGCTCGGTCCTGTCTGTCGAAGGGGACGCAGTCAGGATTCACCTGGATAAAGCCAAGACATTAAAGCTCCTCCACCGTGTGGAGACCGTCCTCAACTCACCGGGCCTCGCCCCGGGGATCAGATCCCTGGCGGGCGAGCTGTCCTGGGTCGCGGGCATCGCCCCGAGATTGCGACCCTTCGTCTCCATGCTGTGGGCGGCAGCCACGGCGGCCGACCAGCACGGGGAAAGTGGCACCGCGAGGCGCAGGCCCAAAGGCACTGTCTTCCAGAACATGGTTCTAAAGCCCCTCGTGTGGATAAGGGCCTTCCTGCGAGGAGAGCGGATGGGAGTCCAGAGGACCCATCGTGCATGGGACGCCTGGTTGCGTCCGGTGTACTGGCTCCGCACGGATGCCTCAACCACCGGGTTGGGCGGAATCCTCCTTTCCACTGACGGTCGCCCCCTCCCACTATCACGGAGGAGGTGGCACAATTTCTAGGAGCCCGGATCGGCGAGTCCAGCTCCATGACCACGTTCGAGCTCCTGGCGCTCTTCGTGGGACTCAAGGTTTGGGGACCCAAGTTCGTCGGGAAGCGACTGGGGGTCCAGAGATACAGATGGACAACCAGTCGGCTCTGACCATCGCCACGGCCTTGTCTTCCAAAGGAGACTCCAGCAACCACCTGGCCGCTGAGATCAGCCTCCTTCTCGAAACGCTTCAGTTGAGGCCCTCGACCCTCGCCACTGGCGGAACACCATAAACATCGAGGCGGACGCGTTGAGTCGCCTCTGCCCCTCCCCCCAAGGAGGCTGCAGGGTCTTCCCCGGGACGAGGTGCAATGCAGCCTGGACCTGTTCGAGCTGCGACGCTGGCCAGTGCCGAGCCCAGGTCTGCAGGTGGCGTTGCCGTTTCTGCCGTAGGCTTTAGCTGTTTGTCGTTTTGTTTGTTTTGTTTCCCCCCCCGCCAGCCCTGCTCGTACCTCCGCCCCCAGCATGCTGCTGGTGTGGCTCCTTTTTGCGGGCCCTCGGCGGCGAACTGGCCGCCTGGGAACTTTGGGTTCCCCACGGCTGCGACCTGTCGCTCCTCGCGCTTCTCTGCTGGCGCATGGCGCGATGCTGCATGTGGAAGGTGGTGGGGCTCGCGGCCGCTAGCGTCCAGATGGGCGAAAGAGGTGAGCCCGGAGCGGCCTGCGGCAAGACGACAGTGGAGGAGAGAGGCCGGGGCCCAGGAGACGGTGGGGGAACAGAGTGGGTACCCCCCCCTCCGTGGGCCCGGCCAGGACGGGGCCGAGAAGAAGAAGAAGCTCACAGGTAGCCGGTCCAACAGCGAAGAAAGCTCGCGAAGAAGAAGGAGAAGAGGAGGAGGAGGAGGAGGAGGAGGAGGAGGAGGAGGAGGAGGAGGAGGAGACCGGGGCAGGAGAAAGCGAAGCCAGGCAAGGGGTGGCCGAGCTCTCGTCGCTCCTGCACGAAGCGGCCAGGCCATGCAGTTCAGGAGCCCGCGGAGTGAGGACCACTACATCCGCACCCTCCCCATGATGGGAGGAACCGTGCTGTGCGGGATCTGCGTCCGCCCCCACCGTTCGGTGAGCGGGCCGGAAGCGCAGGGGTCGACGGAGGCCCGGACGCGGCCTGGTTTGCCCAGGCTGCGTGGTGACGCTCCGGGATGGAACGGTGGCTTGCCGGTGCTGCTCTACGAGGAAAACCGGAGAGGGGGCGCAGGGCAGCTCCCGCCGGTGCAGCTCGACGAGGGTCCTCGCGTGACCCCGGAGCTGAGAGGGAAGGCCCCGCCACTCGTGCCGGGCACGGTGGTCCCACTGACCGAAGGCAGGGACGGGCACAGCCCAACCGGCGACACCCGCGACGGTGCTGGTGAAGGCGATGCCCAGGATGGCTGAGCCGGTGGAGCCGCCCCAGTGCTTCGCATTGATGCCCCGGTCCGGGAGGGCAAGGTGAACTACGTGGACAGGACGTCGGGGCCAGCCGCCCCCGTCCCGGAGGGGGAACCTGATCCCCCAAAAAGCCTGAGGGAGCGAGAAGGGCGCCGGCGCCACCTCCAAGGGACTCGGTGAAGCAGCCCTTGGAAAAGTCCTCGGGCAGGGGAAAGAAAGACGACCCGGCCTCGACCGGGACCGGCGCCGCCGCTCCTTTTCCAGCTTCTGTTGCTGGGCCGGCCGTCACAGTGAGGAGTGCGACAGGCTGCACGGAAAGAAGGCCCCCCCTCCCCACAAGGACAGGCCGGGAGGTTCGGGAGGAGGCCGGGAGGGGAAGGAGTCTCGCGCAAAAGCTCCGGGCAAAGCTCGCGGAGGGAGCTCGCGACCACGACCCGCAAATCCCTCCAAGGGAAGACTGCGCACTCGTGGGATGCGGCGTGGGACGCGCTGACAGCGCAGGGCTTACTGAAGCCCAGGCCGGCCGATGGAGCCCTGGGCTGCGTGTAGAGGCGCCCAGCCCCCGCTTCACCATCCTCCCCACTCCCTTGACTGCCTCCAGGAGGTCGAGGTCCTGGTGTGGTGGCGGCGCATCGTTGGCGTACAACGCCGTGGACCTGTAAAGCCCTGCACCGCGAGGCAGGCCGACACCAAGCAGCGCGAGCCCGTCCCTTTCCCACCCCCGTTGGGGACCCCACGCTTGGTGACGTTCGGGGTCTGGTTCTTGGTGAGGTGCGACGAGATCGCCTCTGACGATGGGCGACATCGCTTGGTCCCCTGAAGGCACCGGCGAGCTGGTCGCCCCGGAGTGCATCTGCGAGGAAGCTCGGGTGCACCTTGCGGGACCAGTACGCGGTGCGCCTGGGAGAGCTGGCGGCGGAGGGCCGGGTCGGCGACCGGAGCGCCCCCTTTTCTTTGTGGACGGGGCCGGGAAGAAGCTGGCGTGGTCGAGAGCTACGCGGAGCAGGCCGGAGAAGACCCCTTGGACGGGGGAGGACGACGGCGCTTCGGCACGCACAGCCTGCGCGTCACCGGGGCGGTGGTGGCGTTCTGGACGCCGAGGCGGTGATGGCGCATGGGCTGCGTTGGAAAAGCGAGGCCGCCATGAGGCGCTACCTTCGTGGTGCGCCCATAGCGCGCGCAGCAAAGGCCTCGCAGACCATCGCCCGCGCCCTGAAGGAAGGCCCCATGTCCTGGGGAAGTGGAGGCCCGGTAGGGGCCAGCGCGGGCCCCCCGGGCGCCGAGGAGCTTCTGAGGGCGGGAAGGGCCCAGAAGTCTGAGGACTTGGTCGTGAAGATCAAGAACGGGCTCACGGGGACTCTGCACGCTCCCCGGGCCCTAGACCTGAACCACCCGGCCGCGTCGAAGGCGAGGTGCGGGTTGAATTGGGTCCAGAATGGACTCGCCGGTAGCTTCAGCTCGGGCGGACACAGGCTCTGCCCGAAGTGTTTCCCGCAGGCTCCGGCTTGAACTTTCCGGGCAGGATCGCCTGGACGTACTTGTACAGAAGCAAGGAAAACAAGTAAGGCCGACTCTCCTGTAGTGCTAGGACGCGGTGAACCAAGTAGGCACGTCGTTAGCGCCTAGCTCCTTGACGCTCAGGTGCAAAGTCGACCGGAGGTCGCTCGCAGGGAATCCTGCTGAGGGGCGGCGGAGGGCATTTGGCCCCACGCCCCGCATCTTGGAAGCGGGTCTCCCCCTTCGTCCTTCCCGCCCTGATCGAGAGTGGAGCTCGAGGCAGGAACGCTGTGGGGACGGGACGAAGAAGGGGAGATCGGAGTGCATCGATTGAGCCCACGATGGGCGCGGCGGCTCGACGAAGGTCTGAGGGACAAACCGCCGTCTCAGCAGCTACAAAAAGAAGGAGTGTCCGAGTGCATGCCTAGGGCGGTCTGGGTGGGGGCATGCACGAAGCAAAGATTGTTGTGGACTACACGCGTGTAAGAAATAACAATCGTGCTGCAGTGCCTGGAGGTTAGGGATAACAGCTGACTCCCGTGGCCATTTGGGGGTCAAGCCCGCCACCGGGAGTCATTGATCGGCTGTCTTCCCACCCACCACTCCCGACAGCCTTCTGAGGTGGCACGTCGTTAGCGCCTAGCTCCTTGACGCTCAGGTGCAAAGTCGACCGGAGGTCGCTCGCAGGGAATCCTGCTGAGGGGCGGCGGAGGGCATTTGGCCCCACGCCCCGCATCTTGGAAGCGGGTCTCCCCCTTCGTCCTTCCCCCCTGATCGAGAGTGGAGCTCGAGGCAGGAACGCTGTGGGGACGGGACGAAGAAGGGGAGATCGGAGTGCATCGATTGAGCCCACGATGGGCACGGCGGCTCGACGAAGGTCTGAGGGACAAACCGCCGTCTCAGCAGCTACAAAAAGAAAGGAGTGTCCGAGTGCATGCCTAGGGCGGTCTGGGTGGGGGCATGCACGAAGCAAAGATTGTTATATTATATATATATATATATGGTCACGCGCTCCGCAGCCCTTGCCCCCCTCCCCCCCAAAGGTCAATGGTCCGGATATAGGGTGGGGCCCCCCCCTCCCTTGTGGTGTGGGGTGTGGGGTTCCTCTTCCCCCTGTAAGGGTGTTGTGGGGTTTTGGGGTTGGGGGTTTAGCTTAAGCTTTTGAGTTTGGGGTTTACGGTTATAAGGTATAAGGCTTCGAATCGACAAGGGCTTAGGGAGGATTTGCGGTGTATGCTCTGCTTTAGGCTTAAGAGCCTGCAGTTAGGTGGGGTTTAGGTTGGGTGCAGCGTTTTAAGTACAAGTTAAGGTTGCTCAAAACAGTTGCACGCGCTGCGTTATAGGGTTTACGGCTTGCTTGTGAAGGGCTTGCGCGTGAGCCCTGTCCACCAGCACCACCCCACCATCCAGCGGCAGCTCCTACAGCCCCCAACCCCTTTCCGCACACGCCAGGCCCCCCCCCCCCCCAACCGTGTCAGACCATACCATGGGGGGGGGGGGGGCTGGGAACGCCAGACGCCTGACCATATATATATATATATATATACACATACCCCTCTGTCTGTGCTGAAGAAGAAGCAGAGATATACATTAGCAGAAACAATGGCTAGTTCTGCAGCTGCGACTGGTTGGGCTACGGGGGACCCCTTACGAGGTGCAAGAGTGTACTGCTGATTTTATGTGACATCGAAGAGCCTTGCAGTTTGCCGTGGCACCGAGTTTTCACATGTTTCAACTTGGCTTCCCCAAACAATTGGGGCGCAAAGCACCAGTGAAGAGGGTCGCTCCCTCTTCCTTCAGCCTCGTGAAAGAAAAAGAAACACGTTTGACGCGCAGGGGTACACATCGCACGTATCGCACCCTACCTTCTGCCCCCTCGAAAGAAAGAGGCTTGCGCGGGCAGGGGTAGTTCGACTGCTCCTCTTGTCTGTGTGGAAGAAGAGAGACAGAGAGCAGACTCAGTCGCAGCGACAGTCTCAGTCAGCTTTTGCCAAGGTCCCTTTGTCAGGCTGGCTTCACTCGGCAGGATTCGATGGGCCAAGAGCTCGAAGAGAATTACGACCTCCTGGAGAAAATCGGGCGCGGTTCAAGTGGGCAGGTCTTCCGGGCTCGAAGAAAGGTGGACGAGAAGGAAGTCGCTCTGAAGATTATGTCTGCAACCAGTCCAGATGTGGTTGCCTCACGCCGCGCAGAGTTCGATATACTCTCTCGCCTGAGTCATCCCAACATCGTGCAAGGTTTGGAGTTCTTCTGCTCAGACTGCACTGCAGTCATCGCCCTGAGCTACCACTCGGGTAGCACGCTGCACAGAGCGGTCAGGGACTCCTTGTCTTCCTGCTTGACGGAAGCAGACTCCAAGCGGCTCTTCCGCAAGCTCATCTCCGCAGTGTCGTATCTGCATGAGCATCGCATCGTGCATCGGGACGTGAAGGCCGACAACATCCTGGTGTCGTCTGATCTCATGGACTTGCATCTGGTGGATTTCAACACTGCGAGGCCACTTCTGGAGGGGGGCGCTCTTACTATGACAGGGACCCCCGAGTACGCGGCTCCGGAAGTCCTGAACGGAGAGTCGCCTTCGGAACAGCACGACGTTTGGGGGGCCGGGTTGTGCCTGCACTGGATGCTCATGGGGGCCCTTCCGCAGCGTGTCAGTGGATTTTCGACTGTGAGACAGTTTGCCGCGGCCGTGCTCCCAGCGCCGGTGACATGTCAGGGCAGCCGGTGGCAAGCTATTTCACCGGAATGTCGGGATGTGGTGCAGCGATGCCTGACCATTTCCAAAGATCATCGCCCGGCCGCAATGCTGGTCTTACACCTTTCATGGGTGGAAGCAGAGTTACCGGTGCAGAAGAGACAAACGACAAGTCCAACAATGACTTTGGATGATGCTATCGAGCGGTGGGCAACGGGCACGATTCCATTTTTTCCGGACTCGCCCGTGCCTGCAAGCCGAACGCACACTCAACCCTCGTTTGTGCAGCGGTGTGAAGTCTGGTAATTTCGGCTGCTATACTTCACATATGCGGAAAGACTTGACTTGCCGGGATTTTTCTAGCTCGTTCGAGCGACCAAGAGGATATCTGTCAGTACATTACAGAACATGACAGTGCGATGTGCAGGGCTGCCGGGCAGATGTTTGAGTCAGAAGGTTTTGAAAGGGCAGGACATGACAGACCATTTATCAGGCAGCATATGTGCATTTACGTGTATATTACATATGTAAATGCTTCGAGAGCCCTGTTGCGATTGTCCTCCATTTGTAGGGACCTCACGGTGCAAATCCCGAGTGACAAGGAGTGTGAGCTTCTCGCCAAAGCCAGTCGCATCACTCTCGTAAACTTCCCGTAGAAGTACGTATGCTTCTTTGCATGGCTGTGACTGTCAGCAAAGCTGTCGCTTTCCTTTTCCATCTGCAGGCCGACTGCCCTGCACAGCTTCCTTCAGTTGCTTGCGTCTGATGCTACACCAGACGCATCGCCAGATCTACATTTCAGTACCTACCTCTTTTCCGACTTCCCGGTCAGATAGAGCGGGATTGTCCCACGAGGCTGGTGCACCTGTCACGAGGCATGAGGCTCGATCTGGTCAGGACATCGGACATTGATGCATTTGTACGTTTTGTCATAGTTCGAAGACTTAGACCAGATGGAGCTCTTTGATAATCCTCCCTGTATGTTGCATGACTCAGGCTCAGAAAGAAAGCATGGCTGCTGCACCACCCCTTGTCGTATTTTTGACCGGTCTGGCAGCTCTAGGCCAGCGTTCGGGATGTCCCACAGCAAGGACTGTAATTAGCCTTGCACAGCCTCTACAGTAGCAGCTAATTAGGCCCAGCACACTCCAGAGGCTGTTGTGGCATCTACGAGATGTTTGCCGCCTCTTCACGTGCCAGGCCTGGTTTCCGTCGTTGGTGTTCGCAGACCATGCCAAGCTACTAGTCCCGCAGACTCAGTTGCACGCTCTCTCCGCCCGGACGGTCAGGTCGAGCATCGACATCGCCAGCACCGTTCATGCGAAGTGACGAGGTCGGATCCCACACAGCAACGCGACCTAGTACGAAGACCTTGCATGTGGAGCCAGAGAGCGCCTACATCACCTCCTGTCGCTTTTCCAGCAGCTGAATACCGGCGCTGCGCCGAGGAGACAAAGATAGGTCGGAGCCAAAGTGAAGGAATAAGGGCGACCAAACGTTCTTGAATTTGCATGCGTGAGTCCGAAGACTAAGACGACATTCGTGACAAAGACTCTAGCAGTTTAGTAGGCGGCATCGGCAGTGGCATCGATGTTTTCTGCTCGTTCCTCGGCTGCGAGCCACAGTGGCGAAAGCAGTGAGAACTATGGTGCTCGTGTCATCTCGTACTTTTCGACGAAAAATGAGTGAGCCGGTACAGTTGCTGCTCTTGTGGCTGACCGACTGTCGCTGGTGTAGGCAAATTGAGGCAGTGACCATGAAGGGGTTCGTACATAGTACTCAAACAGATGCACGCGCTGCATGGCAGAATCGCAGATTGGAGCACTCAGAGCAAGCTGGTGAGCTCTGGTTGTTACTTTCACACAGCTAGATCAAGCGCCACTTTGGAGCCATGCCGTCGTGGAGACTTCGGCGACCTATGGTTAGATCCTTTGGCAGCTGCTCCGCATCAGATTGAGTTAACAATAACGAAAACAACAAAGCAACGCATCGCGACTGCGAAGACGAGTGACGATGACGACAGCTTCACAACGGCCGCCATCCCCGCTTATTAATGGGTGCTGCTGCTGCTGCTGCTCCCGCTCCTACTACTACTACATGCTGCTGCTCCTGCTGCTGCTCCTGCACCTGCTGCTGCTCCTGCTAATGCTACTGTTACTGTTGCCGATACTGCTACTACTTCTACTACCATTGCCATCACTTATTCTACTACTGCTGCTGCTACCACCACTACTACTCCTCCAGCTCTTCCTCCTGCTGCTTGCTGCTGCTGCTGCTTCTACTGATAATGATGATAATGCTGGTGCTGCCGCCACCACTGTTTCCCGCGATACCGCCACTGCTTCCTGCTGGTGGGATGATGACAACGATCGTGATCGTGACGATGACAGCGGCTGATGCTTGTGGAGGAGGGCGACGATGATGATGAACCTGATTGCGTCATGCCGAGCCTACTAGTAGTGTTGCAGCTTTGCTGTTCATCGCAGCCAGGCATACGATGCCGTTCCCTCCGTTTCGCAGGCCTCTCTGGGGCTTCAAGGGATTGCGAGAAGTTCACGTACCTTGGACTCCAAAGACAAGGGCCTACATCTCTCCAGACCGCCTTCAGGTTCTGCGGCACACCCTCATGTCGACATGAGCCAGATCATGGCTTCCAACCATCCGGGACGCACCTCAGCATTGATCCAGTTGCCCGGCTGCATGTTCTCGCTTCTGTCGCTCAAAGCAGCTGCATTTTCCACACGATGAGCAAAACGATATGCAATATCAGTACACGCAAAGCACCTAGCAGTGCGTCACCCGATGGTAAATTTGGTAAATGCTCAGGATGAGGAATGCTCTCACAACGAAAGGGTACTTCTATGCCAGCAACGTGGACTGCTTGCCCCAGCACTACATCGAGAGCGTGACTCTGCTATGTTTTGGCCACGATACGGCTGTCTTGACAAAGGCGGTTGTGTCATGTTGCGTCCTTGGTACAGTAGTCATCCCCACTCCAGTGACACCGGTTCGCTTCGGAGTCAGAGGTCTACGCCTTCGCCCGGCAACTCCATGAACTTCCGGTGGCCGACAAGCGCCGATGTGCTCGACCCAATGGTCACCTTGTTTGCATCGTGTGTAGTATGAAGATGCCCACCGCGCTGGGAAGTGTTAATGTTCGTGAAGAGGGGAGTCAACGTAGGTTGTCAATGTCAGCTGCCTTCGAAGCAAGGTACATACTCCGGCTCAGATGCTGCAAGGTTGCACGATGCGGTTCGCACTGTTGCAACACTGATTACCTATTCTTGCACCCCGAATGTAAAGAGTGGCTAGATGCCTTCGTGCCTGTGGATTGGTTTTTGAACTTGTCTCCTTTGACATTCCTTTGACGACCGTTTGTAGATCTTGGATTCGGCTGCCAACTCCGTCAGCATTTGCAAGCAGCAGATGGCCGTTGGTCATCAGCATGTCGATGAGTGTGTGGGAGTTTGGCACTACGGCTCGGTGTTCCCGGTATAACTTCTGTGGCACGGCGCGAGTCGCGGGTAGCATCCATGGAACTTGTGCTCGGATCCGATAAGGCTCCAAACGGCCAGCTTGGAAGGCCCACTTAGGCTTAGCCTTTACTTGTAATATCAGACCCTAGCCAAGCAAAGGCTGGGGTGGAAGAGCTCGCCTACGAGGCGCGGCGAGACAACCTGCATAATATTCAAAAATTGCTGTCATGAAGCAAGAACACAGGTCAGACTGTATTGATGAACCGAACGATCGAATACCAACGCAAGCGGCCAGCAGTCATGACATATGTGCGTGATGCATAGCCAGCAGCCGAGAGCAGTGTACAACGCATGTGTATGACAAGCTCCATCATAGCAGTGACAACGGTGATGTTTCGTGAGACAGAGCCACCAAGGATGGTAATGCCTTCGATAGCCAACTTTTTTCGCTGATTTCTGCAACTTTTGATGACAATGGTCATGGCAAGGACATTGAGGAGTGCGTCACTGACACGCTGCTGGTCAAGAGCATAGGATATGATGATGTCGCAGCGATAACGATAGACTCGCAGTAGTGCTCACTGCGATAAAAAACATGCAAGGACAGCAAGAACACACATACACATGCCAATTGAAAGCCATGCAAATGAGCGGATGATGGCAAGAGTGGCACTGGTTAGCTATTATCACAACCAGGTTACAGTGATCATAGCGAGGAATAGCAGGGACAGCAGTATTATGTCAACACCGGTCGAAGCGGTGATCACAACGGAAGCCACGATAATGCTAATGGCCGTCATAGTGGTGATAATTTTCATATAAACACTAGAGCTAGTGATGACGACGACAGCTATGGTGTTACTGCCAGATGCGACACGTCAATGACAACTGTGATGATCGCACCGATGAAAACATAATGCCAGCACTCGCAATAACAACGGTGATCGGACCTGACAGCGGTGGTTATTCATAGTCGTCATCAAAGTCGCCATGAACATGCAAGAGGAAGCCCGACGTTGATGATACGAGGCACAGGCCATGCAGGGCAAGATGTGTGTGAATTGCGACCCCTAATCACATACCCAACCTCTCGAAAATATGCAACCTGAGTCAGATTCATAAATTTTAAGATCTGTGTAGTCAGCGACAGGGCCCCGCCTCCGACCCCCCCCCAACTAAGCTGTAGATTTTGGGGTATGTACTTTTTTCCTCGAATTCCACGTGAAGAAGTACATCCCCCCAAAACCGCGCCACACCATCACAGATTTTGGGGTATGTACTTTTTCCTCTGTTTCAGCGAAAAAAGTACATACCACCAAAACCGTGCAACACCATCCCACCCCTGGCCATTATGCAGGGCCACAGGCCATAGCTCGTGAACAAGAGCCAATGCCATCGCTAGGAGAGGCTGTTGGCGTAGTAGTTAGTTAGTGCTCATCTGACAGCCAATTAGCTACCAACGAAGCGGAGGTTTTGGGGTGTAGGGCCAAGGGTCTGTGAACAGATCTAGCTGCTGTTAGCTACGATCTGCTGGTGCGAGGCAGGAAGTGCTTCGACTGTACGTGCCTGGGACTTCAGCCGCGTGCGATTTCCTACGTCCGGCCAGTTTTGCCCGGAGGCGCAACGGCGTAGAGTATCATAGTGTCTTCGAAATGAGAGGAGCGATACGGAGCGATGCAGTCGTGGTACGGAGCATAACAGGCGAAAATGTCTGCATGACACACACACACACACACACACACCATGCTCACGAGGTATCCTGGGCGACTGAGTTGTTTTTGGCTGTCCGTTCGCTCGCACCACCTTAGACAGCTCGATTTCTGCTGTCATGGTGCCTGCCATGCAGTCTGACCACCGACCACCCTCAAAATGGCGAAAACTTCCAAGAGGTTCTCTATTCTATGCTCTTGCGGTCGTAAGAAACCCAGACCAACGGTTTAAAACTCCTGTTGGTCAGTCTTGGTCGTCTCGTCGGTTTCGGCAGGTACACTGCCCTGTCTCTGGCTTGGGCTTTCACGACTTCTTGGATGACTCCTGAGCTGCATCGTCGGAAACCTCCGCAAACTGAACAGCACCGCACGCTGCAGTACCAGGTCGTGCGGAAGTGGCGGCCGGTGTTAGCTTCTCCAGGTAGAGCGAGGCCTCGAATGAGTGGTTTTGTTGTTTGGGTTGCTTACTTCTTGTTGTAGGAAACATACTTTTGCAGCTGCCGGTTTTCGTAAACTTGGAAGCCTTGATTGATGCTTCTGTGCTCAGGATCTGTACGGACGTCAAGATAGATTGGCCGTAGCCTTGATGACGGCCTTTGCAGAGATGCTGGAGCTGCCAACGGACACCGCCGGGGCATATTGTGAGTTTCAGAGCAGCTTACGATCCGAATCTTTCGGACAGGCAGCTTATTGTCGACCAGCGTGCAGGACACCTTTTCTTCATGTTTCTCAGGGCACGGCCGCACTCTGAGATTGGGCATCAGCTGGAATGATCTGATCGAGCTGGCGGGGTAGCGCTAAAACAGACTCCAAAGTGCATCGAAGAGATCGAGGGACTGGGAAAGAAGAGTAAGCTATTTTAACAGCTTGGCAAGAACTTGCGATGCGAGGCCACGACATGGGCACAATCCGCTTGCTGCACTACCCGGCAGCCACGAGCTCAGAAGAGGCAAGGAAGCGGCACGAAGCGATCCTTGGCTGAATTTCATGACCTATACGCACTAGGCTCCCAGCATTTACTTAACCCTCTGTATATGATATCACTAACCCTATTAGGTTGAGAGACAGCATGGAGTCTCCGCTCCGTTTGTGTTTTAGTGAGCAGGAACTACGGCATCAGCCCCCACACTGACTTCGAGGCAACGTCGGCCTCTTCGCAGGTTTCTCAAGGGAGCGAGTTCTGTGAACTTCTGTGAATTCTGTGATCAGGCATTTACATTGATGCATCAGAATGCGCCGGGTTTGCAGTTCCTCCCGCCGAACGGTGCCGACTGGGTAGATGCACCAGTTCGCGAAGAGGAGTTTGTGGTGAAACTTGCAGGCAGATAGAGCAATTTCGGGGTTCATCCTCCTCCATCATAAACAGCACCGGAAGCGACACGGCCTCGTGCCTGCAACCCAAGGATCGTGGGAGATATCCTCGAGCGATTCACGAATGGGGTTCTTCGAGCCACGCCGCATCGCGTGCTTCAGACTGCCCACGAGCGGCCTCTTGCATGAAGCATTCGAAGACAAGGGGCCCAGAGACTGATGTGTTTCTGATGTGCTTGAAATTGCCCTGTTGCGCCCTTGAGCTCTCTAGGTTTTCGATCATCCGCTTCAATGCTGCGGCCTGAGGGAAGCAATCGAGTTGCGAGGAGTGGCTGGTGGATATCGCCATTGGCAGTCTAAGCCACGTGCTTTTCCCCGCAGGCCATGGCGCCGGAGACTCTTGTGGAGCCTTTGTCACACTTCGTGACCGACTCGCGGCCAGCAAGATACACCCCAGCTGCGGCCTCAGTCTTAAAAGCCGGCGGGTGGCTGTCGATCCGAAAGTCCGTCCCAGCGAGCCTCCGAGGTGACGATGCGAAAGCACATGGAGACCACCCTCGGTCGCCTTGAGCTCGGCCTCGGCGCCTGGGAGAAGGCGGGGAGGGGGACCCCCCCCGAATGGCTCCAACCCAACCGGCCTTCAACAAACGTGCAAAGTAGGCCAAGTATCTATGTGGGAGAATAGGTGTCAGACATCTAGCATCAGGACAGGCGCCTTTTCCAGGAAGCTTGCCATGGGATGTATGGTGATTTTACGGGATTCACTTGAGGTCTTCAAGTGCGACGGTGACCGGTCAATCACGGTGAGAGATGTTTGTTGCCTGTTCCAAATTGGTTGGGTTGGCACCCCTGGCAGGGTCAGCCGGGAAGAAGCCTGAGTGCCAGCTTCGTTTACGATGATCCAGGTCTCTAAGGCTCTTGCCCGAAGTTTTCGTTTGGCAGCAGGCAGAGCTGCTGGTTTCACCGAACATAGCAGCAATTCGATCTGTCAGACGGCATCTGTTCATTTAATTCCGGTCAGGCCAAGGCGCTGCAGCTGCAAGCAACAGCTTCAGCACTCCAGGCTTTGTACATAGTGCCCCTGCTGGCTCCCCACGCCCACCAGCGGGACGCTGAGCAGTTCAAGCCTGGCCCCCCACCAAGCAGGACATGACAAGCGAGGTCGGATGGACCCTGGCAAGATGTCGATGGTCGGACCCCCTCCGGTCCGAGAGCAAGGACAAGTCCTTTAGACTGGATGGACCCTTGGCCCTTGGAGGCTTCCAATGCCAGCACCAGCTTGCAGCACGGACTTTGAGCTGCTCACACCGTCGCCCTCGGAACAAGCGATCACTAGCTGCAACCTCCTGAGATTCTCAGGCAGCCTCCTTTAGCACCGATGCTTTCGCAGCGAAGAGAGCCAGCCAGTGCACAACAAGGTCTTTTGCAGCCATCTCCAAGCAAAGCAACTTCCTGGACGTTTACTGCAAGAAACAAAGCGAGATCTTATCTTTAGCATGGACGTGAACTACAAGAAACAAAGCGAGATCGAATACCTTCAGCAAGTGTTGGGCCATGGGCACCACATGAAGTGCTGCCAGATTTCCACAAGAAAGTCGATGTCATCTAATGTCATGAAATTGCGCGGCTCAAAAGAAGCAGCCTACTCATTCAGCCGTTCATCGTGCAGTTGACGTCAAGAACTCCAAATCATGATGCTCCGCCATGTTTGGTGCATGTTGGTCCCGCTGCTCCATTTGAGGCAGAGCTCGGGAGAGGCAGGGACAACAAGGAAAGCTGTAGAAGTGGGTGTGCAATTTTGTGTCGCGGTGATGGTGTTTTGTGGATTGTTGGGATTTTGGGGCCAGCCTTTTCGGGCAACACGGACTTTAGTGCTGTGAAGCAATCTCGTCAGAACCGCGGCAGGCAAACTCGGTCATCGAGAAGCTGATCAGCGCTCACTACCCATCACAATACGTGGCGTGCAGCTCGAGATTTCTGCACAACATCACTTCTGCGCTCCATGATTCCGGTGCCACGAGCATTCGGTTTTTGCTTCTGGCAGTTGTCGCGCCGAGGTGCAAAGACTTAGGCAGGGGCAGCTGATCTCCATTGACGGCCGGCTTGATGAAGAAGCTTGGGCAGAGGCCATTTTTGCAAGCTGTTGAAAGTTCAAGGGGTTGAAGACAGTGTAGTACTTGGTTCAGAAGTCTCAATACAGGAAGCTCACGAATGAAAGCCCTGTCACCGTATAAGAAGTCACATGGGAAGTCAAAGTCGAATGATACCAGGTTGTGCCAGATGTTCAGGATGTGTCAGGCATAGGGACGAAGCCAAGTGCAAAGAACCTGGAGCTAAGCCTTTCCATCCATGGCCACGCACCAGCAGGTACCATGGCTGGACAAGTTCATGGACCTTGCTGGCCCACGCCACGGCAGTGTGAGGACAGACGCATGGTGTGCTCCAGTTCGTGTTGTGCTGCACCGTGTCGACCACCTTTGAGAGACTTGTGGAAATGGCTGCGTGTCCTCGGCGTGCTCCCTTCATATCGTGTAGAGATTTGTAGAGTACAGGTCCAAGTCAGTTGAACTTGAAGTTCGTGCGGCTCCGTTGCACGATCCTTCCTCCACAGGCAACAGCGACACAATAAAGTTAAAGGCGAAACTGCCTTTCCCTTAGCTATTGAGGGTACAGCTCGGTATCCAATCCACGCATCCTGAGTGCTGATGGTCTACAGTCCACAGCCTGAGCATGTAGAGGACAGACTGGCAAGAAGCATCACGGGACTATGCGAGGCGCAGGACTTTTCTCTCTAAAACCCAAGCCCAAGGGCCTTGGCGCATTTAGCGCGGTTGCACCCAGGCGTCTTACTGGATCACCGAATCCAACCCGAGTGAAGCTCCGCTGGGACGAGGTGCCCGCTTTAGATCCGTTCTGTGGCTAAGCAACAGAGGCAGTGTAGACTGACATGAACCCTCACATTCTGGGCTTGTGCCAGGACTTCTTGTACGTTGGAGCAGAGCTACTCTCGAAGCCACGTCCTCATGCATTCAGCCATAAGGAGATTCCAAGGGATTCGAGACATTTCACGACCAGCTGCGCTAGTGCAGAGTTCATGGTAGCACCGACGATCGCGATCATCATCGAATGATTGGAGCAACATCGTAGTATTCTCTATGGTTTTGGTGTCGCTGAAGTTGGGTCGCCACTAGCTACTTCTGTGATCTGATCGTTGCTTCCAGCTCATCTGCTTCTGGATTTTGCTGATGCTGCTGCTGCTGCTGCTGCTGCTGCTGGTGTTGTTTCTACCTCCGTTGTTGCTGTTGACGGTGGCGCTGGTGCTGGTGCTGGCAGTGCTAGCGGTGCTGGTGGCGCTGTCTAGTTGTTTGTTTGGCTAGTTTGGTTGTTTGTTGGGTTACTATGGTTGGGTTTCTTGAAGTTTCTTGCTCCTGCATGTTTTTTGGCACCACATTCCATGGTGTCCATGCTGCAACAAGGCACGTGGCTGCTTCTGTGGAGGGCCACTGCGACAATCTCCACAGCAGTGTGTGGAAGGCAACCCCAGTACTGCATTCTGGCTTGCATAAAGCCTGAGCCAATCGGCGAGCTGTAAGAGTTGTTAGCTTGGGACAGCAGGGGCATGTGGGGATGCCTGAGTTCTTTCGTGCTTTAGCTTTAGCAAGGCCAGACGGTGATAGTTGAATATGCAGTTGACAATGGCAAGAAACAAAGGCCCTATTTCGACGATGACTTCGAGGTTTTCATAGATCCATCTCAAAGCAACTACTTCTATGTGGAGTTCGAGATGAATGCCAGGAGCACCGGTCCCGATTGTTGTATGCAGCCAGGGGCTTGCCTGCGGTTTCGGGTAGTGCGGTCTGATGCAGGAACGCAACTTATGACACTCTTTGGTCTCTGCCCCAGGCAATGAGACGCAGCACGAAGAGTAGATCCTCACAGACGGCCTTTGTTTTAACATGTTGCTGCACTTTCTGAGAGTGGCATCGTGCTGCAGGCCGGCCTGGGTTCAGTCGCACCTGAGTGTGCCCTATGCTGCAACACCACTTGGAATGCAGGCATCGCTGCGTCCGAGAGTTTGGCGGCTGTTGACACTTGCTTCTCGTGCGGGCAGGCAAAGGTCTGTGCGACCATGACGCCGAGAAGGTGAGACTTCACTGGTCCTGCTAAGTTGCAGCGACATGACAGTTGCAGCCCAGGAAGGCGGGTCGTGGACAATGGAGATGTTTGCAGACGCTGCACGTCCCGGCGATGGGATGTTGTCTGCAACGTCACTTGACGTGAAACTTCAAGGCTGCGCAATCTTGTTTCGAGTCTGCAGTCTGCGGGGGCCATCTGTGAGTACCAAGGACGAACACGACGGATGGCTGGACGCTGGAAATTCGGTTTCCCATTCTTTCGAGTTGCTTGGCTCCAAAGACTTCGGACCGCTCGAGCCGCTCGCTGTCTTTTGGGAAAGTCTGACTCTGAGGCCCCTTGCATGGAGGCTTGCTGAATCGACCTGCCTCGCAGCACCTGCCGTATTCTTCGGTGGTGGGGATCTCGGACCTTCGGTTTCGGGAGGGCCGGAGGGCAGGGAAGCGCTCTGGAGAGTCTGGAACCTTTGGACCAGGAGAGCTTGCACCCAGTTCAGGGCCAGAGGTTCTGGTGGGCAACGAGCCCTGCTTGCAACTGGCACGTCTTCGCGATGTCTCTCCCTCCTCTGCTGGTCGGGCTGAGGTTTGCGAATGCACTGCATCTGGGCTGGTGGAGCAAGCTCACAACTTCCGACACCCAGCATCCCGAGCTACCTGGCAAGTCTTTCGTCTGGCGATGCAGCGGCTCTACTGTGGGCCATCTTGACGTCAATGACTACAGGGCTTGTGTTGGACTGTCTTTACGGGGCGAAGGGGTGGGGGCGAGGGGCAGACAGCGGACCGGTCGAAATCTTTGGGTTTCGCTCGCAAGTCTGGGGAATGCTGCAAATAAAATGCGGTTTTCGAGCTCTCTACAACTAGATTTTGGATTCTTGATTTGGAAACTAGTTTTTTGTGAGAGCAGGGCTATAGAGAGCGCGTGATCCCAATGCCCAACAGACAGAGAGAGGGACTTAGGCGTAGGACTGCTTCTGCAGGTTCATCAAGTGGCTCTGTGAAGAAGTCATCCGCGAAGATGAGCGAAGATACGGCTTCTCCCAGTCGCGCTGCTGCACCGAGAGCTCGCACCGTGTGTACTGTAAGAGGGAGACTTTCACGGGAGTCGGGGGCCCGAGAACTCCGCCGAGGACGCTTGGTGCCCTGTCTCTAAATTTGTCCGACTCATCTTCTCAGGTTTCTGGTGGACGCCAACAACGCGGCACCCACCTGCTACTACGAGGCGGCGTCACAAAACCTCGGTGGCCACCAGCGACTTTGATGCAAGCATATGCAAGCACTTTCGTGGTCCTGCTGCTGGTGGGAGCGATGGCGCCCTCTCCTGTGCTGCGCATATTTGCCTCATCAGCCGCTGCCACGCAGAATGTTTGTCACCCTAAACCCTGAGCGCTGCCCTGAGCTACCCGGTTACCCAACGCCCTCCCTTGAAATGCCGTGGTTTGTTGCTGCATTATTTAATCGGTGCTCTGTGCGCTCTACTCCACGCCGGCGCTCTGCCCTGCCAGGTACATGCACAATCCAGACCAGTTTGGTTACTTGCAGTTCGCGAATGCTACCGCCCCAATCTGCAGCAATGTCTGCTGGCTGGCTCGTTTCGTGCTCGCGCAGATCTACCAGGCGGAGGCAGGCCCCGGCGCAGCATTCCACTCTGCACCTTTGCAACCCCCAAAGCTGAGTTTGCCAAGGTACACTATCTGATGACAGCCGGCCAGGGCAGCTTCACCTCGAAGATCGGGGACCTGTTGTCGGTGGCAACGTGCGACATTTCCAACGCTTGCAATGTGACCACCCTGCTGGATGCTCTCAACTATGTGGACATCAGCATCTATGCGGCTGATGGCAAGAGGATCGCCCAGTACCGAATATGTTGCAGAGTAGATACTCCCCACGCCGCAAGTCCTTCGAACCCCTCGGACAGGCTGTTCACGCCGCCACCTTGGTTCAATCGGAAGTGAAACGGAGTGAAATAAACAGACTGAATCGACTGCCACCATCACCTCACTGTCGCTGACACTCTCCGCGGCTGCATGCAGCTTCCTCCTTTTGGCAACGAGCCGGGGTTTGGGCATAATGGCATAGCGTGCGCCTGCGATAGACAAGAGGAACAGGAATGCACTCTTGAATGGCATTAGTAGTACCTCGAGTACCATTCAAAGCGTGACATGAGATTGATCCGAAGACTTCCACCCTTGCGACTTGCACCCAGCAGCCTCGCCCTGTCTTTGCCAGGGCAGTGCTCTTAAAGCTTTGTGAGGAGAAACCTAGGCTCAGTAGAATCAGAAGTGGAAGGAAAAACGAACGAAGAGTGAGTGCAAGGTTGTGCAATAGTGCATAAGCCCGAGTAAATGTCTCCAGGACTGGCGAGTGTGTGCGCTACGCAATTCCGGGGGTGCAGAACTCCAGCTCCACCGGTGGACCATGCTTCACGGCTTTCGTGACCTACACCATACGCAGCAAGGGTGTTTTGGCTCGCAAATCGCTCCTGCGTTGTGTGACAGCGGGAGGATGCATCTGGCTCGGCCGAATCTCGATCTTAGTAATCTTAGGCGATCCAACCAAGACCAAGAACATCGAGGCATCCATCAATGAGGCACCTTGCAAATCCAATCGTTTGCGCTTTGCACCCCTTGGCTGGCTCAACTGAATCACAAAGTGCTGCTTGGGCGATAGCTTCTGGACGATGCCAGCCGCTTGACGATGTTGGGTTGCTCCCAGGCCCGATTGATGTCGCAGCCAGAAGTGGGCCAGAGGCCGGGAACTCGAGAACATCGACAAAATAGAGCATAGATGTACATGTATTGACCCTGTTTTTCACCGACATTTTTTCCGGCTGTATAACATTAAGGCCTGATTTCGCCGATCGGGTCCGTGTTTTGAATGCCATGTCTTCAATCGCGGAACATCCAGAGACTAGTGAGGCTGTCAAAGCTCAATCACTCATGTCATGGCATCTGCATGTCTTCTGTTACAGCAAACACGAAGAGCATTCAAGATGCATTTCCGATGCTTGCGAGAATCAGGTGGGACTCTCCAGATGCTGACTGGCTGCTTGTTTTGCATCTATACCGGAAGTCCTTGTTCCAGTTGCATGCAGAATCGTGAGATGGTACAGCATTTCTTGGATACAATTCCTTGAAGGTTATGCCTGGAGACCGTGGATGTGCTTCCCACCGGGATTTACGTGTGAGACGTGCAAAAAGGGCCTTTCATGCAGCGACAGTCTGCAGCGCACCCCACATGGCCTACACGAGCTGCAATAGAAATCCTGCCTTCCTATCCTGCCTGGTGGCTCGACTCAGTTGGCACGATTAAGATGCAAAGCAGAAGTGATTAGATTGCATGTTTCGAAGTTCTTGGTTTCGAGATCGCAAGCACTCGCTAAAAGCATTGAGCCAATGCGCAGATGGTCGCAATACCTTCTGCTGATTGCACTGCCACGCGCAGCTGTCGCAGTTCCCGACGAGCAGGACCAGCAAGTGCATGTCAGCAGCATGGATGCATCTTTGCATCTCCTGGCTTCAAGGACCTGTCGGCTTGCCGAGCATTTGAGGCTGAGGAGCAGGTGCATGATGACATGCCTCTTTCCGGCCATGCCCATAAGTTACAGTTACAGTCTGCCTTCCGGCCAAGAGTCCGAGCTCACGCTGCCATGTAAGATTGTAGTGTAGGCGGGGCCAATCACTGTGCAACTTGCCAAGCCTGGGTGCAGGGCTGTTCTGAAGAAGCTCTCTTCGCGCTGCAGCAACATGCAAGGAAGCGATCTGGGCGCGGCTTGTCAGCATGCCCTGGCTGTTGAGAATACCCCGGAACCAACGGTAGTATTGGATAAAGCAAGTGGGAGTAGTGCTGTAACTATCGCCTGAATGCCCCGTCAATCACGAAACTCAGGCTTCACGCTGGACTTCCACTTGCAGAAGACTGCTGCCTGACATGAAAAGATGCAGCCACAATGCAAGCGCAAAGCTGCATCGGGCACATGCGCAGCTTGCAAAAGCCCAGTTTCCAATTTACACAGCCTCGCTCAGGTGACACTGACAGGTATTCATAACGGGTTTTTCGATGACGTGATCAACAGCATCAGGGACGCCTATGAGCACGTCAAGGACGCTGGCAAGCACTGTTGCTTCAACACCGACTGCAGATAACACATCTTGCGAAGTCAGCTTGAGAATGAAACCCGCCGGGCGCACTGAGTGAACCCCTGCCAACTATTCGGGCATTGATCTGGGAAACCTAAGCATCTGCCTCAGGCGTGTGTTGGAAGTCACATTTGCAATAGCATCCGCGAGCTTTGTCTGTGAAGTGTGTCGTGCCGTGCACATGGCAAGTCCACGGAAGAAAGAGAGGAGAACGTGCAGTCGCCTGCTGCAAGGACTGCCTCGATGAAAGCCTTCTGATGCGCTTTGCGATGTGGATTCGGTTCGTTGTGGACACGGATCGGTGTAACTACGAAGCTTCGGTGAACTCGGGCAGCGCGCACCTCACCGTGTCCGCATGTGGCTGCCTGGATTAATGGCCAGCACAGGAGCAAGATGCTAGTTTCGGGCGGGCGGCCACGAACGAGAATCCGGATCCGGGTTTGACTGCTCGGCTGTTCTGAGTTCTTGCTGGCAACAACGGTTTGGCAGACGTTTCTTTGCGAGTTCACGCAAACGCCATCACACGCGGGCGTTTACATGCAACTGTTGTCAGCGTCGGCTTGCACCAATGACCCACCAAGGACACATGCCGCTGACGGGGACTCTTTTTCGCGGTCCTGGCATACAGTACGACAACAACGGCTTTACCCTCTCCTCGTGCGCACTTGGAGTAGCTTGTGCTGATCTGCGCTTTGAGAACAAGGCCTGCAGAGGGAGGGGCTCAGGGAAGATGCAACGCATAGGCATGCACTAAGATTGAAGGCTGCAGACTGCCAGTTCGACGTCTGGGACATCAAAGTAAAGGCAAGAACAGAGAACTTTGCAACTTGGCTAGAGGGGTGAGAAGAATCCCTGATTTCCTAGTCCTAGTTGCTGGCTGAGGCAGACATCTCAACGACATGGGTGACGGTTCTCTCAAACGTGACCCTACATGAATAGAAAGGCAGTCAGGTTCCCCTGGTCTGTTGTCTCCCAGGCAAAGTCCTTGGTGTTGAAGCTTGTTGTCTGGGCTAGCTGCTGAATCAAGTGGTAAGCCTGAATGGCAGATCGATCAATAAAAAAGCAAGGCTAGCATCTGGTCATACATGTAAATCTGCATGAAATCGGAAAAGATGAGTTTTGACTGAAACTATAGGAGATTGGGGCGAAGGCTTTGACTTGCTTGCCTAAATCGTGCCCCATTTTGGATTCGACGGATAACGTCTGATTCGTAAAATTCAGATTGAAATGCTAGATTGTTGTATGTTGATCGTTCCGCCGGTCCGCTCCGCTCTACTTTTCTTAATATGATGGAGATTAAATTTAGATTTTGAGTTTTACACTTTGATTTGTGAGTTGTCGTTACGAGTTGTCGATTATGGTAACGAATTCTAAGACGAGAGGGATTCTCGTCTTCTGCTTTGGAGTGGATAGCTAGTATCTCTTTCTAGACTCTTCGGTCTTCGGTGTCGGGTCTAATCTGGGTATTTTAATTTTTTCGTGCTTGACGATATAGTACGGGCTATTGAGGTATTGGAAGATTATTCATAGACGTAGTAATTGCCGACAATTTAGAGAATGAGATGGGAGTTAAGATAGTTGAATATAGCTCAAATTTTGGGAATTTTATATGCTAGGGCCTCCGTGGCCATGTAATTTGGATTTGTTCCTAAGGTGTTGTAGATCTGTTTTGTGCGTGTATTGTTCGTTGTTAGGTCTCTTGATATCTTCTGTCTTGGGGTAAGAATATCTACTTAATATTTTGTCATATAAAAAAATATTTAGTGGATAGGTGGTTCTATATATATCTTCATATTATTATATCTCTTGATATCTTCCTTCCTTAAGTCGGGAAGGAGAAATAATATTGATATTATATGAGATAGAGAAAGAGGAGATATAGAATGAAGTGGGTATAATTTCAAATTTAGAAAAAGCAAGAGGGAAATATATCGGGTATTTAAATTCTAGATATTATTTAATTGAAAAAATTAAATCGATTTCGATAATGGGGATTCAAGGTAGAGGCATATACATATAGTCCGAATTCATGTTATTATATATTGGATGAAGCGTATTATATAGAATGGGGGCTTTCTTTTATTCTTAGAGAAAACGAGAAATAGATAAGAGGGGGATGGGGAGGTTCTCTTACAGGTCATTATATTTTCTGGATTGTTCTTATGAGGTTGTTTATTTCGTATAAGATCGTATGGATATATATATATATATTGAGTGAAATAGATGAATTTTATTATATATAATATATTAGATATATTCTGGGCGTTAGCACGAAAAATATTCTATTTGTATGGGAAGGTTTAATTATTTTTCTAAATGAGGGGATACTAAATAAGTCTCGTATTCAATAGAATATCTTAGAATTAATATCTTTATAATTTTTCGTATCTGGAGAATATATATATATTGATATAATCATATCTAATAAATTCTTGAATAGAATTATTATATAATAGCATTGATCATTTTTTTGAATTGAAATATATCTATATAGATATTCTATATCATAATATCTCTTAGTTATATATAGATATTATATGATAAATTATGAAAATATAAATATAGGGATAATTAAATTCTTCTAATAGAGAAACTAAAATATTCGCGGTATCCTAGAATAAAAATTTAGTATATCTTAGAATAGGGCAAAAAAAATTTCAGAAATAATTTCTTAAGAATTTTTTATGCGGATTCTATATGGGCGACCGATATTTCGGGCGCCCTTGTACGCTCAACTACAGCGAAACGAAGGAGGCGCCCGACTCTTTAGGTGTTTAAAGGGACCTCTAATGAAGCTTCGCGCAGGTACGGGGGGCGTGGGAGCAGGACCGGGCAATGGCCTGCTCCGAACCCCATAGACGGGGGGGCCTAGGAGCAAGACCTTTACCTACTTGGGTGATGGTGATGGCCCCTATTCCGAAATCCCAAAAGTAGCTCACGGATTTGAACTGCCCGACCGGGCTTACTTCGCAGGCAGCACCTAACGTATTCCGCCACTACATAGTTCCAGTCACCCATCACCACTATACTTCCCTTTAGTCATACAACTATAGTAAGCGATAGGTCGACAGAATTAAAAGAAGGGATATGAATCTTAGATATTGAGCTTCGAATAGATGAGATCGTATCTCGCGAATTCAGTTGGGCAGACCACGACTCTCAGCCAATATTATTTCCTTCTATAACCCAGACCCTCACCTTACGAAGTACTAGAGAAAGTAGTACGAAGAAGCGTCAAAATGCAACGTTCCATCTCTAGAAATAATTTCTAATGAAAAAAAAATTCTTATAATATATCGGAGCTATATACTATATTATATCTTTCTAAATGATCCCCAACCACGACGATCCCTTCCCCCGAATGTTCGGCACCCAGAACTCCCCTCTATATCGTATCTTTCCACGAACGTTAAGTGCCTAGAACTCCCACCACCATCCCTATCTTTAGTCGCATCTTCCCTCGGAAGCGCTGTACCGAGAACTCCCCCGTCCCGTCTCCTTCCATTACCTCGTCCTCCGCGAACTCTTGGCACCCAAAGCTCCCACCCGTCCGCTCGAATGCTCGTCAGCCGTTCCCGTCCATAGCCCTTCGCGCAAACGTTCGACTACTCCAGATATCCCACCGTTCTCATCCCCTCGGCACACCCAAAGCTCCCACCCGTCTCCATCCACGGCCGCGTGAACGCTCCACACCCAGTGATGATAGGAAGTGTATGACAAAACCTGAAATTCCGGCAATCCTGCTCCACCGGAACCTCAGTGTGGATGCTGAAACGCTTGAGGTTTGGATGTATGCCAGGCCGGGCGCCGATTGCGTAAACCCAATGTGGACGCGGAAAGATATGTTTTTTCTCAAAAAGGTGCGCGTTAAACCCTCCCCGCGTAACTTTCAGATCCCTCAATCAAACTTAAAGTTCGGTCATTAGATAATCCACATTCTTCATCCATGAATCCTCCCAATCGTCAGGGGTCTTATATTGGTAGCCCCTACGCAAACAAATCATGATTTTGCATGTGTTTAAACACAAAAGCTCGCTCCGAGAAAATTCATACTTGAGGTCTCGTGGAGGCTCGAACCCTGCCCGTGTTTGGTTCCGTTTGAAACCAAAGTGTGCGAATCGCGATTACGTCCAAAAACTCCAAAGAGAATCGCTGCTACCCTTCCTGGAGTGTTAGTGCATCGAAATTTCGAGAACGTAGGTTCGGTGTTCTACCTGATGCTGCATGATGACACCACACATCCCAAGACTATTTGTCGCAGCCTGCCCTTCATTTTTAAATCAGATCTCCCGGCCACGCGTCGCTTGCATCATGGGCCTTTCCGAGACCTCTGGCAAACAGAGTCTCCGAAAGATGTGGCTGTGGGAAGCTCTCCAGCCTTTAGAGACGCCCAGTCGCCTCTTCCAGCCGAGGTTTCCCACCTGCAGCCAACTCGCAGAGGGCGAATTGCGCCAAAGGAGCCGGAGAGATACTGCCCGACGAGCTGCCACAGCCGCTTCGCCAGCTCTGGGAGGTCGCTAGCGGAATCCCGTCCTCTAGACACTTCAATTCGCAGTCAAAGACTCTCTCCGACTTAAAGCCCGGAAGTGACAGGCCTGGCTGCCGACGCCGAAGCACAATGATGCTTGCATCCAGAAAGCCAAGTTTCAGCCTTTTCAGGGCCGCATATGCTGAGACCCTGCTCGCCCGCTCGCGTGTTGCGTAAGCCACGGGCTCTCGTCGTGCATAGCAGAACCAAGAGGCCTTTGCCGAGCCCAAACGTTGCACAAGCTTCGTGCAGGAGATACTGGGAAGATCTAGGAAGCTTCCTTCATGAGAAACCCAGAAACCATGACCATAATCACTGCTGCAAGAGTTTTCTGGACACCAGCAAGCATCCTTGTAAGCTGCACGGCCGAATCCGTCCTTGGGCATCTGGCTTGGGCGGAATGCAGATTTGCAGCTTCCAGGACCCAAGGCTCCTGCACCAAGCAGCCGCACCATCCGCTCCGCACAAGCAAAACGCAAACAAGCCACAGATGAGCCTGCTCAAGAGAAGAAATCAGGATCAAACGGCCGTCAGCATCCGATCGCACGACCTCCGGTCCGCAACACGCCCGCGTAAAGGCATACCGGTGCAGCTGTGCCGCGCTGTGCCTGTCTTTACCGTACAGTATGGGGGGCGAGCTGCAACAGAGTGCTGACTGGCCGGAGTCCTACAGAATCACAACACCTGCATCCACAGATGCGCTTCGGTACGAAGCATTCACAAAGAAGTTCCAATAGAGTCAGTTGCGTGCCCTCGTGCCGGATCTAGACCAGAACAGCGATTAGCGAAACCTAATTGAACTCTTTCTTTCGGGGGGGGGGGGAGGGGGGGGGCGGCCGGGAAATCGACCGTTCTCGGCTCTCGGATGCGTCCGAGGCCCTGGGCGAAGGGAATCAGCCCACAAACATGACATATCTCTACTTTGTACAAAGAAACTCGAAGGGGAGAGCGTGGAGCGGGAAGGCAAAAGCCATACATCTCACTCGTTGCACTATGCGACGAACAAAGTGACAAAACCACATCAGACATCTTCTGTAAGATCCCCGCGCGGTCGAACTCTTTAAGCACGGCCTCCAAACGTCGGAGGTAAGGCACCGTCAAGCAGCGGAACATATGGGAACGTCAGAGAAGCCCGCCTTGTATAAACTGTCTCTGCAGCCTTCGATTGTGCCATACTGGCGTCCAAACGGAATGTCGCATATCACCGCATCAACCTCGGTCAGCGGGAAACCTAATGCACTTTAGATGTTGAAATGTGGGAGCTCGAAGGCAGCAGATACCTAGCTGATCCTAGCTGTGTTTCATCGTAATGCCACACCTGCTTAATCCTGGCATCACTGCGGCCTGCCTCAAACCTTTTCGCTGCAAAAATGCATCAGCGAAAGTTGTGAACACTAACATGTGCAACAAGCACGTGATGCGGAATTTCGCTAGAAGCGCTCCGAAATCGCAGCATTCAAGGTGGAGCACTGAACGAGTTCCGTTGCTGTGGCAGGCGGATGCCGATTCATGCCACCTGTTCCCAAGTAGCCACTCGTAGCATTGCAACTAAAAAGCTGGTGACAATTTTCCATTGATCATAAAATGAAAGACTACGGCCGGGAAGCCAACTCAACGTCTCCTGGCAGCGGCGGCGCCGCAAACTTGGGCCATGGCCGAGTGATCTGGTAAGGGCAACCTCTGGGCATCACCCATGAGGAGGTCCTCACTTGCGGATGTGTAGAAGAATCTGCATCACAAAAAAAAGTGGTAGGTGATGGTTTATGCTTTACGAGCAGAAGTCACTCGCTAGGATGCCGCTGAGCCGATGGCGTTATGTATATACCGAGCATGTTACCCTTCTTCTTAGGAGCAGACCAATCGGGCACCACTCGCCTGTGCCAGCTGAGCCTGTGGACTGGAATTTGAAAGGCCATTGCCGCTCTCACGCAGAGGGGGGGGGAGGGCCACATCTTGGCAGGCCCGGGCAGGATGGTTCATGATGCCATGGGAATTCCGTTCAGTTTATGAGTTTCCGGATCTGAGAAGTACCGCCTGAGGCAAGCCAAGTCTCGCACGTTGCTGCGCGCACCGGACAGCTGGCTCGCATCGAGGTCCACGCCTTCGGCAAACTCGACAGACAAGCCTTGAAAAAGAACACAAAATCTATCTAAACCCATAAAACCTGGGCCTATGTAGTGGCAGTTGGGCCAGCTGAGAGCAGCCTCGAAGCAAAGGCCCAAGAACAAATGGGCCCACAGCATTGTCGAGCAAGGCCGTGTGCCGTGCCTCCACCAGGATAACCGCCTGGCTTACAGTCCGTATGAATATGTTTGGATAAGCAACTTTGCTCAGAGTGACTGTCGCTGCATGCAGACGTGCAGTTATCGTTCTGAGCTCGCAGGACCGTTGGAATCTTAACCATACTTACAGTAGAGTCGTAGAGGGAGCAACGGTGTCTTGTTCGACGCGCACTGCCTGCCCCGGATCTAGTGGCCTTGCCGCACATTGGGTCGAGCACACGGTCGCCTTGCTTGAGCTCGGCTGAGCGAGCCAATGCCCAAGCCTCAAGGACTTGCAAACGGGACTCAACACGAGTTATTCATTCAGAAGTATTGAGACGCAACTGCACCGTCGAGACCCAAGACTCCGGCCACGGGTGCGGCCATGCCCGCGCTACAAAGCTCTCCACCGCCGCTCGGTACACTTTGAACCTCATAGCCAGCGAGCGCAGGCTTCACAGACCTCCCTCACGCGGTGACATCCAGATTGAGTCCGGCCAAACCCACTTCTGAGTATCCGTCAAGGAGCGGAAGGTCGACCAGGATATCGCTGTCGCTCACCTGCATTGAGTGATTTGCGAGATGAGCGTTTAGGATTGGTCACCGATCTACAGTCCGAGCATCCGGCCAAGATCCTCACTTCAAGATCAGGGCGTCTCACCTGCAAAGCTCGTGCAAGGTCTCCGAAGCCTTATCATCATTGTCATTAGCATTATTATTACTATTAGTAACATTAGTATTATTCTTACTACTAGTAACATTAGATTATTATTATTATTTTAAGTATTACTGTTAGTATTCTAAACATGCACCGCACCAACATGCCACACACTGCACTGGCCTGGGCCCGCCAGCCTGCCAGGATCTCAGGCAGCACTTCAACTCTGAGGACATCACTCTAGGCTACACAGTACTAATGATACTGATAATTATACTACTGATAATACTAATAATAATACTTATGATAATAATAATACTAATAATAACAATAATCGTAATGATAATAATACTAATAATAATGGGGGTTCTGCTTGGGGTGCACTTGGCTCCTGCCTTGCTTGGAGGCAATGGCCGTGGCTGCGGCAACTGCAACCCCTGCCAGGCTTCTGACACGTTCTTCTCAAGCAGTCTTACACTTAGTCTTAAGTCTTACGGGTGCAGTCTCATGTGCCGTCATCGTATGTCGTATGGCGCCTCTTATGAACAAGGTGCCGCAACACATGACGTGCTCATGGCCGCATACCCTCCGACCTTGGGATGACAGCTGAGCAAATCGCTTGCCCGATCGCCGGCAAGTGATTTTGAACCTGGCCAATGTCTTCTGTCCTAGGGTCCGTGCAGCCCAGCGCCCACGCAAACATGTCACCAGCGAGTGCATAAACCTTTTCGGCGTCTCTTGCGCATTTGTAGCCTTGAGGCTGGACTCCCGAACTCTGTCCCTCGGCGCCGAGGCACAGCCTACTGTTCTGACATGGAGTCCTTGATAAGACAGGAGGTTCTGAGAATTGCACGAATATGCGAATGCTATCAAACCTTCTGCTGTGAAGAAACAGATGTCAACGCATGTACACAACAGTATGGCTGCAGTAGCTCAAGCTGCTCAACCACGTTTCCCCGAATATCAACTGCTTTGTCACGGTTACAGACTTTTCAGGACCGGTCCTGGCTTACCAAGGAAGCATATATTCAGTGAACCTACGCAGAAGAGGCCTCCGTCCTCAGCCATAAAGTGGCCGTGGGCACTTGGCCTCCACACCCTACATGCCTAAGCCGTTTCTGAAGACACTGAATGACAATCTCTACAACTCTACGCTTCCTCGGACAGCTTCAGGATTCTCTCCAATTGCTGCTTCAGCGCGGGAAGAAGCCTTGGCTCAGCCAAGAGCGAGCAATGCGCTTCAATGAGTGCAAGCGCCAGCGTCGTGCGGCCAGGACTCGTGTTCTGCCAATCCTCGTCGGAGAGGAAATGGCCTTGGCCATCCAGCGAGACGATGTCGGCGGACCATGCAGCAGCGGTGCCTTGCATCCGACATCAGCAAGGGAGGAAAAGATTACCAAAAGATGTGAGGGGCACATCCGGCCAGCAAGAACAAGGTGCTCTCATGGCACCAGAGTGGAGTTAGAACGTCCCCAGATCCAGCGATGAGAGAAAGGGCCTTCTTCCCATCCTCCAGGGCCCGAGGCAAGAAGGCAGCGACTTTACGGCTTCCCTGAACCACGCCGTCCGGGCACCTCCGATTTTCCAGGGCAAAGACTGAAACCGAGTAGCCCGAGAAGCAGATTTAGAGACTCGACCTTTGCGATGCCTTGCAGCCGCATTGATCGCAGTCTGCGCACTCAAGTCAATCTAAGGGATGGCCTTCATGGTACTGCTGAAACGTCTGCGGGCTCCCCGTTATTGTCACAATGCTCGGATTTCCAACGAAACCTCAACTTCGAGAGGCGAACGCCTTTATTGTGCTTTTGCAACCGACATGCGCTGCCTGACGAAGTGTTCAGTGTCATCCCTAGGCTGTCCCGTTGATGCCTTCTGAGACACCGATTGATTGGCAGCGCTGTGCACTCCGGCAGAAGTAGCCACCGCCCACCAGCTGCGCTGCATTCATTGACACAAGAACCTTGGGCGCTTAGCATTGCTCAGTAGTCGCGTGCATGTGAACTGATTGCCGTCACGATTGCTTTAGAATTCAATCCAAAAAATGCTCGACGTTATCCAATCGAACGACCATGAGCACGCCAACAAAGAACGTCGCCAGGAGAGGAAGAAAAAAGCAAACGTATGTACCTCGGCAGCATGTTGAACAGTCCTGAACAGAGGAGCATTGCGATTGCACCTCAGAAGGCACGAGGTATTTCGCAAACTCACGGCCCGGTGGCTTTCGCAACGTTTGTCGGGTCTGGTCTGCAGCAGGAGCACAAAAGCTCATCACTGGTACCGGACACAGCAGGATTGCTCCCTGCACTTTGGCGGCTGCATCCTTCTTCCTCGCGAGCAGAACCTGCACATGTCAGAAGTTCGGTGCAAAGAACCCCTCATGGAGGTACCGTGAGCCTAGCCTCCACGATGGAGCCCCCCAGAGAGTGGCCAAGTAGGACGACAGGTTCCTGGCACACTGCGACTGCGAAGCTCGAAGCTCGCAGCCTGGCTTCTCCCCAACCACCCGGCCTCGAGGTTGCGCAAAGCATCTTCTACCTGACCAACATAGTTGCTCAGGGAAGTGCAGCGCGACTTCTCCTTTCAGAGGCTTCTTGGTGTGGACTCAGGCGAGGCAGTGACTACGCAGTCTTGACCAGTCAGTTTTGCAGCAGAAGTTTGCAAAGCCTTGGTTTATCCTAGCAAGAACTCTGAGTGTCACCGCTCCAGGAAGAGCGCCACGGAGGTGTAGCCGCTGTCTGCAAGTGCTGTCATGGGACCTCCGGCTAGTTGAGAGTCTGCAACAGCTCTTAGCACTACTCTTGTTGTGTACAGGCTGAGACTCTGAAAAATTCATCGCGCATACAACATGCAGGACAGGCATGTCGGAAAACCACGACGTGACATGGTTGAAAACAACACTTGTACGGGACTAAATCGTGACGGTGTGCCCTGGAACACTGCAGCGGAGTCGTGTGTCGCACCCGGCACCCAAAGCAGTGTCGCACGTCGTGGTGCCTCACAAACCGCATGTCTGCTTTCAAGAACGTACTCGCATGCTCGACGCAACATACAGGGACACATCAGCATAAATAGCCAAAGTCACACCATTTCAGCCCAGCCGCATGACTAGCGGCATGAATTACAAAGCTCGACGAAGTGGATTGAACATATCCAGCGTCTGCCATCGCAAGTGGGAGAGAGTCACGCCACTCAGTGTGACCGAGCGGGGCTGAGCTAAACAACAGACGAAACGCAGAACAAATTTAAAGCATTGTTAAAGCTAAAAAACCATGATAGATATCTCAACCATGCAGCCCACGCTTCTACGTTCGACCGTGGCTCGAGCCATGCGGCTGTTGACAGGTGAGTAGCCACTCACCACTGCGTACAGGCCGGTGATGGCACCAAACATGATAAGACCACAACGCGAACCCTATCCAGACGTGGGGGCATCGTCAGCTTTTCCAAAGATAGCAGTGACCGGATCAGGCACATGAAAACCATGTTTATTCTCTCCCTTATGTTGGCCATTTGAACCGAGAAACAAGCTTCGTGACCATTAGCTTTAACAGCAGCACAGATATCCTCAGAACTCGGAGCTTCAATGATATCAGCAATGCATCGATTGTCAGCAATACTTTCAATAAGAGAACGTTGCCAGTGGCACGTGAGGGGCTCGACGCCATCCTCGTCTCCTGCGACGAATGTGACTGCAGCAACTTTGAGCTGACGTTCCAGCCTTATTTTGGGTGTTTCAGTTCTGGGGCGAACGTCAGCGACGATGGCCTGCAACATGCATCTGCCTCGCCTCAAACCAGCTCTCCCTTTTCCTGCGCACGGTGAAACGACGAAACCGGGAAAAAAGTGCAAAGCCGGTGCCGACGCCAGGCCCGCAACACCTCACAGAGCTCCTGAGACGTCTACGACTGCGGAGTAGAAACTTCCTAGTGTCCTAAAATATATACTATATGATATCCAATACGCAATATATGATATACAACATATGATATATAGTGTATAGTACATGTAATATATAATATATGATATATAGTGTCCTAGTCCTCTGGCACCTGGGGTCCTGTGAGCCAGGCTGGGAAGACACACCGCATGTGCACTAGAGCGCCCATGGCTTTGTATCGCCAGTCTGATCAACAATCAAGACAAGGACACGCTGCTTTAAAGGTTCGAGAGCTTTCATCCAGACCTTCCGTACGGAGTCCATTTCAGATGGATTGCAATTCCGCAGAGGGTCAATAATCAAAAGGACTCTGACAGCCCCAAGCGAGATTCGGAAGATTGCTTGGGCTAGCTGGATCCGGAGGGCCTCCGGCTTAGACATATTGGAGGCCCAATCTGTGCTTTCAACACCATTGGGGAGGTTGACCACTTTGCTCCACATCTGGGCCTGTTCCAAACAGGGCTGCAAAGGCATGCCCATGTCTTCCAAGCCCATCTGCACGTATTCGGCCAGGGTGCTCCCCTGGCCCGGCGTCCTGGCAACGCTGCAGGGCAGAGGCGCATGGTCGATGATATGTATGGAGAAGTTTATCGTCTCGAGCTCGTAGTGCTCTACAAACTCTCCATTTAGCTTGATCTTAGCTGGAGCATCCAACATCCGCAAGAGGAGCTTGGCGAAGGTTGTTGCACCAGAACTGCGTGGCATGCTCATGACGTTCAGCTTCCCAGTCGTTGCCGAAGTAAGGGCAGGAACTTTTGCAAAAGGTCCGAACTGTGCTGAGCCGAGACAGTAAGAGAAACCTTGCGGGATCTCCAAGCAAATTTCAGCGGACAACTTGTTGATGCCGTCCTGTGAACAAGCAAGAAAAATAAGTTGGCCAAGGGCATGCTGGATCGAAAGTACTCTCATGCAGCACTCTTGGAATGCAACTGCAGCTTAGAGTCAAAGCGTGGCGCCGCCATGCGCAGGAGGGCTCGCGACAGCAAAAACAAACGCTCCAAAGAGCCAATGGAGGAGGACAGCTGCAGCAGCGCCTCACCTGCACACTGAATTCTGAAACTTCTTGGCTCCATCTATCCCAGTTAGCATGCACTCTGCGCGCTTTCCTACGTCCTTGACTCCTTTGAAAGAGGTCATGAGATGTATCATCCCATAGCTGCAACAATGTAGTCTGGGACATGATGCTGTCCCTTTTTGGTTGCCCCAAGTCGGGTTGCCGAGTCACAGGAGCGCCGCACTGCGCTCAGGAGAATCGGAACAGACACAGCATAGACGGAGTAGCTGTGAAGACACTCCGCAGACGTTCCGGCTGCGCTCGAGTGGAAGAGCTTGAAGAGGGCCAAGGTGATGCAGGCCAGCTCCGTGTAGCGGAGGAAGATCTGCACACGGATACTTGTCTGTGCATACGGACATATACGGACAAAGCCGTTTCTTCCAATGCTATCTGCATCGTCCCATGTTACGTGCATCAGCCTACGACCCGAGACCAGCATTTGCCTACCTACGAGTATATGAAGGGTCCATACAGTCCATACAAGTAAGCAACTTCCAGTTTCCGGATGTTTCAGGCCTCAGTGTGTACTTACGATAGGGCCGAAACTGTTGAAGGACCTGGCTTTGGCCGCCTAGGGAAATCTGCACATGAGAAACGGATCGGGATGCCAGTCAAGGGCGGAACATCTAAGGAGCCGGGTAAGCTCAGCTTGGTGTCAGGGTCACATTTACACCCAAATGATCTCTGGCAGTCTTACCAGTCTTACCATGTCTTACCTCTTTACAACACCTTCCGACCCGGGTCTGCTGCGAAGTGAGGAGCCTGCATCACCTGGTGGATCAAGGTGAGCTTCTTGCGCTGCTCCAAATTGGCATCTTGAATCTCTTCATACGTAGCCTTTACCGCGGAAGTCTTCTCGGCCATGGACTTGACTTCGAAGAAGTTGCTAAGGGTACTGAACATGTCGGAGTACATGTACCCGATCATGCTGCGTGTTTGTCTGGAACAAGTTCTGAGGCTAAAGCATGCCAGGAGAGACATGGCAACCATGAGTGCACCAGCCGATAATGCAACGAAGACTGCATTCCAGACAGGCTTGCTGTCACAAGTCGGTTGTGTAGCGGCAAGACCAAGGATCGCCAGCAAGGCGCCGATGACGGTTAGGGACTCGATAGAGAAGTCGTTGCAAGACTCCAGGACGCCCTGAAGAGCACGCGTGTCTCCAACAAGTCGGCTCCAAACTTCCGAGAACATCCTCGTGGTGAAGGCCTCGGTCTTGATGTTTAGGAGCGCCAGGTACATGGAGGTCAGGACATTCAGCATGGCATAGTTAGCAGATCGGATGAAGAGCCAGGCGCCAAGAAGGCTAGTAGCCGCAGCTGCAAGGAGCCAGAAAGTGCCCAACAAGTGATTGATCACGAGAATGTACAGGACCGCAGCCACACAGTTGACCAGGAAGGCTCCCAGAAAGCCGGGCCATGCCAACTTCCCGATCCGCAGAAGCTGGAGAAACGCCTCCGTAATGGTGAGCTTTCCGAAGAGGTTCTGCGCCAGCAGGGGATCGGCGTTGTCCGGAAGAGTCTCGTCCTGCACCCAGAAATGCAACACTTATTAAAGCGCGAACTTGAAAAACGCCCCATGCCACACCCAGTCATGTGACTGTGTTGAGACCCGCCCGAGTCCTGCTCCATGAAGGCTCCACCACTTGTCAAGATGCCTGGCCGAGAGAACATCGGACTACCGGTCACACGTGCGGCGGCAGAATGCCGAGGCCAAAAGAAACAAAACACACCGTATATACCGAAGACCACCGAAGACCAGCAAATGCCCAAATCCTCGACGAGGCGCGGTTGACCACGTTCCTTGCACGCGCCTTGGAGCTCTCGAAGGCAGCCCTTCGCAGGGTCCGAGTCCGGCTGCCGGGTGCTTCGCTGCCGCCCATTTCGAAGGTGTAGCCGACCTGCGTCTGCTCGAAGCCCGTCTGACCGATGATGGAGCCATCCTCCACGTGCATGGCTGCAGCACTTCGTTGCTGGCGTAAGTACGCCAAATGCGCGTGTGAAGGATGCTCGGAACTGTCACAGCCTGCAATGTGTGACTTGAGGCCGTGTGTGAGAGCGGTATCTGCAATGCTGTAGGGCACCAGGAAGCTTTCGTCCAGAACCATTTGGTGGAAGCGAAAGTCTCGGAAAGCACTCACGCGGGTTCGGGACAGCTGCTCTGCATATTTGGCTTCCTTCCACCTCTCGACTGCTTCGGAATTGAGCTCACTTTCAAGCTCGAGTCGATATCCATGCCTCGCAATGAGGGAGTTCACGTGAGCATAGCATTCCCCCCAAAGCACGTGTGGGTACTGCTGCTTCTCTACAAAGCCGAGACGGACAAGCTCCGTGTAGACTTTCATGTACATCTCATTCCCTTTGGCCTTGCAGAGGATCTGAAACATTGTCATCTTGGGAAGCTTCTGCTGGTTATAGAACCTCTTCGTGTGCTCAGAGAGCTCCACGTTGCGACAACGCCCTTTCATCCACTGGACCATGGCTCGCCCAACAACCCTGGGAGCCGCAATCACGTTGCCACGATCATCGAGTGTGCTTACCTCGGAAGTCGTGGCTGGCGCCGTCATGCTCCTCAGCATGTGCTCACCTGCCACGTGCTGCACGACCCAAACCGAAACTGCGAGTTGAACTACAAGAGATCACGATTACTCAAAGGAGTCCGAGTCGCGGCAGACCTTGGCATTGATTAAGAAAACTTTCCCATCACCATCGGAGACAACTAGGCATTGGTTCTGTGTCAGGTCGCGTGTAGCTAGGATGTTCCCAACTGTGTCATAGCTGTACTCAACATCCTGTGCCTCGACCGGAATGCCTCCAATCGTAAGGCCCTGGTCCACGAGTGTTTTCATCTCGACCTTCTTATGCTCCTCTCCATCCTGAAGGAAGTAGATGAGATCGATATCGTTGAAGCCGGCAATCTCGGACACTAAATCTGGGTTCTCGGAGTCCAGCCACAATATCTTGCCAACCAGCCGGGCGATGCCACCTTTGTACCCGGTGAAGGGATGCTGCACCGCCCATTCCAAGAGCTCTTGCAGTGGCAAAGTGGCATCTTCGCTCTTGACATTCCCGAATCTTGCGGGGTCCAGCTGCGTGACTTCCAGCACGACGCCTGCACGACGCGCGCACATCAACCGTTCTCTCAAACATGTACGGACAACAAAACAGAAGCTCCGGCCAATTTACTCCACGGCGCTGTCCAACTCATAGACTTCAGGGCAAACCATGCGCAGGTTTGCGTATGACACCTGCGGCGGCTCATGGCATATGGCACACGACGCCTGAGGACGTTTTGGTGGTTCCTCTGTAGCAGGCAGCTGAGGCTCAGGCACGGCGAAAGATGTCCCTTAAGGCGGTCCAAGCTTCAAGGGTGGTATTCTGATACAAGCACTCTGGTTCCGACACTGCATGCGACCATGTTTCCAGGGCATGGGTACTGGCCACCGCAAGCGGCGCCATGGCAGCGCCATGATCAAGAGGACGACAACAACGCCGCTGAGGATCAAGTTCACCAGCGCGATGCTCTGAGAGGAGTCAGGACCCGAGAAACCGACTCCGAGTCCTTGGAGGAGCTGGGAGGGCATCAGCAAGATCCGCCATGTCATCTTTTGCCACGAAAGGGACGCCAATCGCTGTCTTTGGGCCAAACACTGTCAGAGGCGAAGTTCAAGCATCACAGGGCTGCCAACTCAGAACTTTCAGAGTGCTCAACGATTTCCCTCCAATCCCATTGGATTGGAGCAGTCTGTCCTCTTCCGTTGAATCTCCACCTCGGACTCGCTCGAATCGCTTGCCAAACAGGACCAAGCCGGAAACTCAGGCAGGCGTAGTAGTAGTAGTAGTAGTAGTAGTAGTAGTAGTAGTAGTAGTAGTAGTGGCAGCATTCGGCAGGCAGCCAAGGTGCCAGGTTTGCAGAGCTGGCTTCCAGCCATCAGCCCCAGCCACCCAACCAGCGACAGCCTTGTCAACCACATACTAATTCATAGCAGTAGCAAAACACTGATATATGAGGCTGCACAATATCAACAGTTAACAATCATCTCCCTCGCGAGAGAAAACAACAACAATAACTTCATACCACATTGTGCCAGCTGTTGCGGTGAGGATTGCTCCTAAGATGCTCTCTCTGTTCGCTAAGTCCATGTGATGGTCGTAGATACAGTAATTACTGTTACTGTTTGGAACGCGTCGTTCCTGCGATATTTACGTAGACGGCCTGCGATATTTACGCAGACGGCCTGCTGAACAAGAAAGGTCCGTCAGATTGCCTGCCCGTCGCATGCTCGCACTAGCAGCTAATGCGTTGACGAATCGACCAGGGTTGCAGTCTTTCCTCCCCAGGTTTCGAAACTGACCTGGCTGTCACAAGGAGCAGCTAGTGCCCATGTGGAGCTTCATATCTTTGTAGAAGCCATGCTATGCTTGGATACCATGGTACTGGTCGGCAATGGTCACATATGCAGGCGTGTGCTAGTATTCAGCTTCATAGCTGTAAGCAGCATGGTTGCACGTCGCGGGTTTAAGACGATCCGCCTTGACACTCCTTGTTACATCAGCTGTACATTGCTGGCGCTTGGTGTTTAGTGTCCAGTATCTCCATTGCCACGTACACATGTCACAGCACACCAATTGCGCTAAAGACCTCAGAAGGTGGCGCTCTCTGCTTCCGGGCCGAAACCGCCAGCGCCATGGATGACCTCGCGAAGGCTGTGGCACTGGCCATCGGCTCGGATCCGGAGGGAAAGGCAAGAACCCGCCTCGCCTCCGAGACGACTGCCCCGCTGGCTCGCATAACCTTATCTGCGGCACCGAGACACCGAGACACATAGCAGCAATTGGCAACAATCGACAATCGGGACACAGGCCACAGCACAGACTTTCTCGGCCGACTTTAGCGTTGCAATCGCCGCCGGTGCCCGATCGCTGCAGAAGAAGACCCGGCATTGCACCTCACCGACTCACCGACACCGCATTAAAGGCTTCGCCTGCCCCGGCCCCAGCAAAGCTCGGCCATTGTTTGAGGAATCCTGCGGTCCGAGCGCCCGGTGCATGGCTTTGGCACCGAGACGAAGAAGCTCCCAGGAGGCCAGCTTGTCGAGACCTCGTACATCGGCTGAAGCATCTTTCTCTCAACACGTTTCAGAAGGTTTCACCTACCAGCGGCCTCCCTGGCTAAGCGTCATAACGAACTCAGCCGCTGCGAGTTCCTGCCGTCAGCAACATCGGATTCACATCTCTGCGACTGCACCAGGTCAGCAGAAGGTCTGCTTGTTTCATCGATTGCTGTAAGAACATCTTCATACGACCAAAGAACAAGAGTATCCCTGGTATTGCGCCACAAGAAGACTCAGGGCTACCCGCATGCCTGCCCCTCCTCCGGGATGACTTCATCCAAACCCTGCAAAGAAAGGGGCAAAGAAGCCATGATGACGCAGAAGGCAGCGCATCTCAGAATACACAACAGAAGGCCTTTGCCTCAATTAGTTGCAGTACTTGGTGTCTACCAGCAGCTGCATCAGACGGAGCACAAGATGCAACGAGGAGCTGCTCATTTACTTCATCTACATCACTTTATACCATTTTATACCGTGTAAGGCAAGGATTCGAAATTTTGTTGGAGGCGTTTCTGAAAGAAGCCTTATTCTCCAGTCTAGTGCCCGGTGCCCTGCCGAATGGAAACTGCCTGGTCGTGCATTGCAGCGCGAAGCAGACGGGCCACCTGCAAAAAAATTGCACTTCCAGCGAGCTCCAGAAGCTCCAAACCCCAAAGTTCCGAAGCTAGCCTGGGCCTAAAACTTATATGCTAGTCGCAAGTTGGCTAGAAAGCATCTGTTGAGGACGGTGCTGACATTTGTGGTACTTGTATGTTGTAGTCGGTGTACTCGCAATGACGCCTGTTTGTATTTCTCGTCGTCCATGACGATCGAAGCAAGAAGCTGCCTCGCTGTCTGCACCATGAACTCGCTGGGCCAAGTCGAGAGGCCGTTCCTCTCGATGCTCTTGTCCCACTGAAAAATGGTTTACAGCTTGCCCGACCTGTCTCAGTATTGTCTGCTACGCCAGAAACTACCTTCACCACCACCGATGCTGCTTGCAATGTCGCTTCACTACCACGAGGTGGTGGCGCTGAGAGACGTAGGCAGGTTTCAACAATGATCAAGTCTCCATCTTGCAGCGATGTTTCGCTGACATGCCGCTTGATGAGTGGGCCAAGCGCAGGAGTGGAGAGCCGGGCTCCGGGGACTCTGCCGATTCAGGAGCTGAGCGAGTGCTGCAATGCAGGTGCTGCCTTTGCCAACCCAGGACTGTGTTAAGGCCTGGCCGGCCTAGCATCTTCCTTGCAGCGGAGGGTTTCGCACCCCGCCCTACGCATCACATGTCGCATCCTTCACCGTGCACCGATCTGCTCCAGCTCATGTGACTATAACACTGACATGGATACATAGGCGCACGAATGCAGGTCTATCTTCGCGTATACAGATTTTCCCACATGTATTGTGCGGCACACCGGTTCACCCGCTCGCAGCTGTGTGCACTGATGGTGTGTTTGCACTCATGGCAGGTGCTGGTTGGCGAGTTCTCGAGCATGCACACACCTCACGTGCATGCATACATGCACGCATACATGCATGCACTGTACAAGACTCAAACAATAATAGACCGGAGGTTTAAAAGTGGCGGCCAGCGCATCTCCTCGCTGCAAGAAGATGGCCCTGCCTGGTGCCTGGATCCTTGATAAGAGTCAGGAACCCAATTCACCACCGAACCCCGAAGGGAAGCAGATCAAAACATTTATCCATTGTGGACCACTGGAACATACACACTCCCCAGGAAATCCCCTTCCCGGCGTCCTGAGCAAGGTGTGTCCTGCAATGCGAGAGAATGTTCATTCAATCTGGAGTCTAAACCTTTTTGATGCAACCGTCGTTTTCCTCTTCGCCATCTGACGCTCCGTGATGAGCTTCGGGGCTGCAGTCGCCTCCCGGCTCTAGCTGAGGAGACATGCTAAGCTTGCAGCATGACTACCGCAACTACACATGAAAGGCACCTATACCTCCATATACGTGTAATCATATGGGTAGTTGTCAAAATTATGGTCCCGTCTGGGGTACCCTAAATATTAGGTGCCGTATTATAATAGGGACCCAGAAGGGGACCATAACTTTGACAACCACCCATATGGTCTCGGCATGCAGACTTTTTTGGCATCCTCAGGCGCAGAAGAAGCCAAACCACCCTGCGTCTGTCTAGCCGACACTGAGAGCTCTCTATGTACAGTGTGTTGTGATAGAATTCTGAATCTTCGCACTCAGAGTTCCAGTCGAGGCTTCCTGCGCATAGAACTGCAATGAAGCAAAGGTTCACACGACAGAGGGCAGCTTTCTTCCACGGATGCAGGTCGCTGCTCCTGTTGAACGAGTGCGCCAACCAGCTGCAAGCCAAGTAACAGAGCTTTCCGTACCCATCGCTATGACTCGTCGGACTTAATTCAAGCATTGCCACTTGAGTAATCTAGAGGCTCCTACTTCACGCTATAACTGTTTCTGGTTCCCGGCCTGTTGGCCTGAACGTTTCTCGCCAAGCCCAGACCTGCAAAGACATCGGTAGGAATGAACAATGAGCCCCACAAAGGCACCGCGAATGACAGCATTACCACTATGACTGATGTGGCCGGATAAGCCCCAATATGCCCCAATACTGACTACATATTGCTGCTAATGCTACTGCGGGTGCCACTGGTGCTACTAGTAGCACCCTCCGAACCACGACGACGACTCCTGGGGGGGATGCGGAGAAAAACCATCCAGATTCTGAAATGGCGATGATCAAGGACGTGATCCTGATCATTCTTACAACCATTGTTTCAAGAATCCGTCTGATTCACGCTGGCAGTACTAGCATTGTCGACAGTACTGGCAGTCGAGCTCATACTACCCTCCCCAGTCGTCAGTGCTGTCATCATAAGCCAGAATTGCTGCTTGGAAGTAAACCACCGCAGTTGCTTCTTGCTGCAATTATATGTGTGCATCCTTTGCACTGTCACTGTGATGGCTGGTTTGATGACTGCTCGAGTTCCCAGTGATTGGTTTGTTGCTGCTGTCTGCTAGTCCAGCCTGTGTCAAAACCGCTTCCACAAATCACAAGTTCTGCATTCCCGAACAGTTGCATCACATCCAGGACTTTAGCCTGCCTCCAACCCCGGTGATCACTGAAGCTTCTACATTGTACATCCTTTAGATATCTTATCACTAAGCCCAGTACAAGCTTACAATTCATCATTCCCTGCCTTTTGACTTCAGCTTGGCCAGGGCGACCTTCTTCTCTTCTTCTTTGGCATTGTGCTGCTCTGTGAGGCCATCCACAAACCTGGCCGAACCGCAGCGCCGGAACGACACGTCCAATCTGCCCATCTTGTCCAGTTAGATACTGCAAACGTCTGCTTGCGGAGCAAAGGTGGCTTTTCCAACATGGTCGTCTGATCGAAGAACGTCACGCAGCTTTCGGCATGTATGGATATCATTAGTTCCAAGCTGCCTTCGGAATTCTGTCTCAATCTGCTCTTTCTGTTCCGCGCTGGCTGCGCTCACGTCCTTGTCCTCGTCACAGGGCTTGCATGCGATCAGACACGCCTCAGCAGTAATACCTCCTTAGCACTTCGATTGCTGCAGTGTGATTTACTGCGTATGATGAGGGACCCCGCCTTTTGCTGGCCAGCCTGAGCATTGTCAGCACATCACTTGCCTTGACCGCCTGACAACACAGTTGCACGAGCCTTGGTCAACGTGCCCAGCAAGTTTCCTTTGAACAAGCCTTTGGCGCAGATTGTTTTCAACAGCATTCTGGAAAGCCAGACCGGTGAAAACAGTATGGTGAGTCAAGTTTGTGCCGTCTGCATCTCTTGCCGGCTGAAGCCTGCCCTGTCTGCAAGCAGGCCACTGAACTCCGTTTCTACCTGACACGAGACAAAGAGCATTGCTGCAGCGACTGACATTGTACTGATCTACGTGCTGACAAGTTCAAGTGCTCAAGTCGGTCGAGATTCGCTCTTCCGTTCTTCGGCGAGCTGCTCGACAATTTTGTCGAGGTCAGGTATGCTTTTCCTAGGTCGCATGACCAGAAAGAACTGCAATGACCGACAAACACTCTGCAAGACAGCCTTCTCTGCACCGCAGCCTGCACAGAGGGGTCAAGCTTCATCTGGAAGTCCTTGATGAGAGACTTCTCGGCAGCAGAGCAATGTCTTTGATCGTCCACTGTGCAGACCTCGGTAGAAGTGTCGCGACACATCTTTGCACGTCTCTGCACCATTCTGCAGTCGTCTGCCCCCAAAGCGCCCTACAGGGCGAAGCTGGGAGGTGACGAAATTCTCCAAATCCCGAAGCTCCTCAGACCACGAGACTATGTGCCCAATCAAGTGGAAGAACGCCTCACCTTCTTGCCGGTGTAGTCATCCTTGGCTCTGAGGCCAGAAGTTAACACTCTCAACAAACCGCGGTTTGTGAAACAAAAAGGAAACAAAAAGCCGATGCTGTTTCTGCTTCGGCAGGGTAGGCAAGGACAAACCGGCCTATGGAGAGAGAGCATGCCAGGAAACTGGCCATTGCAATCCAGGATCCAGATCATACGGATTCCCGTACTTCAGAGTTGGAAACCTTTGCGGCAAACAGGCAGACGCTCTCCTGATCTCTCCTGCTGGCCCTTGATTCCCTCCAATCAAGAGCTCCCACAAATATGCGAATCGACATGCACCAGGGCAGCCAAAGAGCTTATCCACCCCGAATTCCAAACAGAATCGGGATGCCTCACCTCTCACCAAGGCAGGACACTCTCATCACAGAGCAGCATGGTACTGGTCACACACAGCATCAGAAGGTTCACATGACATGTTGATGCATGGTCAAATGTCATTACTGTAGGACCCCTGCCAGAGCAGTCCACGCTTGCGACTAAGGTGGACTTCTTCCTGCCCTTCTCCTCTGCACACTGATCGATGTCTGCTCGCATGCGATAAGGGGTGGGGTTTCCGAAAATGGGGGACCCTAAATATGGTACCCCTAAATAGAGGAAAGTCCCCTAAATCATTGGAAGGTCGCAGCTCTTGAACCTCCCGGGTCCTTGAACTTGAAGTTAGCATTTGCCAGCTTGTCCCACGTCGGCTTAAGCATCTTGCAGTGGTTGCACCACTCCGTGTGAAAGTTTACGAAGACCTGCCAGCAGAAGACAGGCTCAGCGTCTCAAGCTCTCTGGATTTCATACGGTGGCACTGCGGTAGCCAGGCTCTGAGGACAACGCCGTCTTGCCTGCTACTCGGCTGGCCCAGGTCCTGCGCATGGAGACTGGCAAAAGCTCGAAAGTCACACACTCTAGATATGGTCTCCTCTCGGTGAGCTGTACCGCCCCAGCTACACCTCAGGCGTGCAACAGTGGGAGGTGCGCGTGGTGCAGTCACGCTTCAAGCCGGCCGCTGTGACGTCGGGACTGTCTAGGGCTGCGGCTGTTGAGCAGAACAAGGAATCTTCCCGAAGAGCTGCCCATACTACGGAGCGAGTAGTTGCAAGCGGGTTGTCACTGCTTGGAAGGTCCACGAGTCGAAATCAGTATACAGCTCCGATGGGTCCGCGAATCGACTAGCGGGTATCACATTGTCTCACCGGTGAGCCCACCGGTTCCGCAAGCACAACATGGCTGAAAATCTCAGACTTGGATCCTAATTATGTGTCTTGGCAGTCGTTCATCAAGCCTCAAAAAGCCCTCGGCTTGATTCAGAGAAGATCAACGTGGGCCGGTAGCTGTCTGAACGGCTTCTGACCGCAAGCTCGCGATGCAAGGTGGGTCACGCCTTTGCCTCCAGCAAGATCTTCAAAACCTGCACCGATACGCGCTACTCTCCAGCAGAAACATCCTTTGCAGAGCAGAGTCGCCTCCGAGTGGCCGTTCAAGGAGGCCCAGTGCACCGCCGAGCGTGCCCAGCGGTCGCTCCTGGGATCGGAAGCGGAGGAGCTCACAGGAACCCTTCGGAGCCAGGCTCCGAGGGACCGACCACTCCAAGAAGCCCCGAGATCGGGAATCCTTCATGGCCTCGGTTCCGGGACGACATGGCCGAACCCCCAAAAGTGGGTCGGAGAAAGGCTCCCCTGTGATGATCCGGGCCTGCAGCAGCCGGCGAAGCGCTTCGGCGCTGCCACTTCGGGCGGCTGCCTGCAGCCGGATGACTGCACACCCAAATGGCAAAAACCAGTGTATGATGTAGATGGCAAGGTATGATAATCCATGAATTAACAAACAAAGCAAAGCTAGAATCAACAAATGCTTGTTCACCCTGCTGGGATAAGCACTGTGACCGAGCTGTTGCAAGCTGCCACTACCGTGCGATTGGAATCGACTCGAAAAGCTAGCACGCACAGATCGAATTCTGATAGCCACCGCTATCTTGGTCGACCCACGATTCTGCCACTTGCATCGAAGAGTTGAGCTTTCTCTAACCAAGCGATCATGACACGGTCTGTGGGTTGGCGTGGCTTGAACTGCGAAATGGCCCTACTGTGTCTATCTGCGTAACCTGTCTAACTAAGCGATCATGGCACTGCCATTCGATGGACAACAAAACGTCGTCGCGCAGAACTAAAGTGCACGAGCACTGCATACAGATATCCCAGGATAAATCAAGTCTCGCCAGGGCGCATGGAGCAGCGACTGGCCCCGCGCGTCGCGGACTGTGAGAGGGGCCTTGGCCTTTAGCCTCGGCGCAGGATCGAATTCCCCCTACTTAGGAGCTGCAGCTTCATTCAGGGTTAAGGGTTTCTAGTAACACTAGATTAGGGCATCCATGTACTTTGTGGTAGTTGTGAGTACTCTATGTCTGTCTTGTTACATCCGTATGCATATACACCAGTAAGGAGGAGTGCTGAGCCGTGTCTGCCAGCGACGATTGCTACTGTCGTCATCAGAACTCACCCTCTCAGTACCACGGATAACCTCCTACAGTTAGAGAGCGGTTGGTCGTGCTGAGAGTCCAGTCGATTTAGTGCTATCGCACCGAGTACCAATGGCAAAGCACTACGTACTGACTGGAACAGCACTAGGGCAGCGCTGCTGCCGTAAATGAAACGTAAATACAGTACGGCCGTAGAAGATCACTGAGAAGATGTCCCTGCAACATAGAAGAGCAAATCAAGCGCCTTGCCACACGGGAAAGGTTCGCTCAAGAGCATTCTTGTTCTATCTTGCTCCATCATCTGATGGGAGTGTGTTTCTTTTCCATTTTGCAGCATGACCCGTCTTGCAACTCTTCGTTCTGTTTATCGCTCTGCTTACTCTTGCTGCTGCTACCACCACCACCACCACCACCCCCACCTGTACCACCTGTACCACCACCACCACCACCTCCTGTACCACCGCCACCACCTACTACTTACCACCGCCGTCACCACTACCACCGCCACCACAAGTGCTACTGCCATTAGAACCACTTCGGTACACGAGAGCAAGTGTAATCATGAATGCTGTTTGTCTTGATGCTTTAGCTGTCCGTACGGTAACTGATGTGTATAATTGATGCTTGCGTCCTTGTATGCACCACAACTGGTGCATGCTGGTGTTCTCTGACTACGTGCCGTACCTTGTTGTACGTATATAACGCCGAGATTGTTCGTACAACGTAGCACTTCTGGAATTGTGCATTTGGCCACATCGCATGTATAGCAGCTTAGACTGCCCGTTCCCAGTTGCCGTCGTTCGTTCAAGCCATCTACTTCATCTAACATTAGTAGACATCTGATTATCAAGTCTAGGCTTTCAGATACCAGCTATCACGATCACTGACGATCACATGTGTGCAGAAATTGCACATTGTCAAGAGTATTGCGTTTTCACTCATGTGGGAGTAGTAATAGCAGTAATAGTAGTATATAGTATAGTAATAATAGTAATAATAGTAATAATAGTAATAATAGTAATAGTAGTAATAGTAGTAATAATAGTAATAATAGTCATAATAGTAAAAATAGTAGCAACAGCTATTGGTGCCGGAAGGTGCTCGAGGGCCCGGCAGCAAGTCCAAGGCGCCGGCCCCGGAAGCCATGGCGGCATAGTGTAAAGGCCTAAGCACGAAGACAAACAACAAGACTGCATCATTATATCAATGCAGCGCTAGCTATAATCGCTATGCATAGACTCCGAACAGCCAGAGAACACGTATAAGTATGGAAGCAGTCGAAGCCGTCGGACCCCTATGCACCGAAGAAGTACGATTGGATCCCCGAGCACTCTCGGCACTGCTCGCGGCCCGATGTGTCCTAGCAGGGCCGCACTATTCGGCTCGTTGCCGTGGTCTCGAATTCACACAGTTCTCAAGCGGTTTCGGAAACACTGTGCCTGAGTGTGTTTGGGCATGCATCGTCCTCGTTTCACAGCAGCATGCGTTCCCTCATCCCGAAATCGTGCCCTCGTCACGTTTCCGTTCATCTTTCGGGTGCTCCTCGCGTCTTCATGCTCACGTGCGACATGGCCAGCGTGGGACCGTGGAAAGAACACGATTGTCCTGGAACCGCTGCACACACCTGCCACGGGCGCTCCGGCGCCTCCTACAGACCCAATCCTCTTACGCTCAACGCAAGACGCCCACGGTTTTAATACACTGTTTGGGGCATATGTATACCGTCTGAAGCCAGAAAGGAGATGCTGTTCATGTCGTACGTCCAGTAGTTTGGCCCTAGGCTCTGGCTTCTGGATACAGCCACAGCAATTTCCTTAGGTTCCTTGCGTCATGGCCGCACCCGGCTCAGTCGTCGTGGCTCTCGCCTTGCAAACACATTCCCCCTGGTATGTGCAGTGCAGCTGAACATGGACAAATGTCGGATGCGAGCTGCCCAAACGTTTCATGCCGAAAGCCTGAAATCCCAGTTGCGACCTTGATAGGCCAATCCTACAGACAACCAAGTCTACAACAAATCAAGTTCGGGTTGACATTCCATTCAATCTATGGTCATCCGACATGATTCCCAAGAAGTGCTGCGTGCACACATCTAACCCTCAGAGCGCATCCTGTCTCGCGCAACTTCAATTGGTGGCTTCCTGGGTCCAGTGCGCGCCGTTCCAACAGGAACTGCACACACTCGGTGGCGTTCGCTTGCCTGTGGCCATACTGGTCAAGCTGTAGATTGACCGATGTCGCATGTTTGAACAGCTCCGTAGACTGCAACTAGATGCACAATTGTGGTTTACAAAGACATAAACAGGACAAGCGATGAATACAGTAGTGTATTCACTTCTTATCAAGCTTCAGATGGACATACGGTCACGCAAGGACTTGCTTGCCAACCTTCCTGCCTAGCTGCCCCCTTCTCTGATGTAGCTGCGTGCTACTTACTCGTTAACGTGATTTGCGGGCATTTGGATGTAGGTGGGGACCGTGCATTGCTTTGTTCTTCTACTTTTTCGTGCCCTTATGCTTGTCTACACTTGCTTGTTACGAGTTGCTGCATTTTTGCAGACAGGCATGACGGCTATGCTTGTCCATGACCTCCGACTTCTCTAAATGCCTTCAGCGCTTATGCAAGATGTTGCATGTATCTTTGTGTTTCATCATGTCCATCCATCTACCCATTTCTGCACAAACATGCATGTGAACATGCACAAGTGAATTAGAGTACTTCTTTCTACATTTCTGAATACTGACTTACACCTATGTTGCTCCGTCGACGGACTCGTCTCCCTAGTATGTCTAGCAGATACAGGGAGGTCAAAGGCACTTGCGGATCTGTGGGTGATGTATGGCTTCAGGGTAAGTAGCTTTGGATCATGCGTTTTTCCGGGTAAAGTGTGCCCCGTGCCAGGCCAACAGGGCCATCCTCTCTGGCATCAATCCTAAGGTCTTCAGAGGGACGAGGTCGGGTGTGAACCAATGTATCGGTCAATCTGTATCTCTTGGAAAGACAGGGTCAATACACCGGTTCGTTTGTAAGATCTTGTAAGAGTCCCACTGCATTGGCGAATCTGAGTTGCTGACGCCGCTGCGTGGAGGGCCGTGAAGGATCCAGCAGCCTATAGGCAGGGAAAGCAACCTCTCAGTGCCTCGGAATCCAGCGACCAGAACAGTTGGTACTTTCGGGAGGGTGCCCCGGCATGGTGTTGCCCAGGTAAGAAAGACAATGGCCTTGCGAGATGGGGCGGTGTTTGCTTGCACTGAGTGGAAACCGGTGCCTTCGCATTACCTTGTCGAGCAGCGGCCCCGATCCACTGCTGAGCGTCCTTGCACTGAATTCATCACGGCAGTGGCGGCTCACCATCAACGACAGCATTCGGCAAAGGTCCTCTGGAGTTGCTGCATCCAGCTCCGCTGCTAAGGCTGCTGCCGCACCTCCGGGTTCCAGAATCTCTGACAAAACCGAGACCCTCCGTGGACCCCCCAAAAATGATGGGCTGAGATGGGCTAAGGGATTCACGGTGTCTCGACGCGTACGCAAGGGTGTGGTGTGCCGGGGCAGGTATAGCTCTTAATTAAACTGAATGCCAATCGTCGAGTTCTAAGCCCTCAAAACTATACCTCGGGATTCCCTGAATCCTTAGAGCCTTAGACACCCGCGATTCCGCGATCTGCCTGGACCCCTTTTTCGCGCAGCGCTTCGCAGGCGTGGCCAGGCCTGGCGAACTGAGAACGGCTGCTCCACAACTGCCAGTCTGATGCTAGACACTCATGCACCCATTTCTTACCACTTTGGTGCGGTGTGGTGAAAAAGAAGTCCGGTAAAATCATCACTGTCATGGGAAGCGTCCGTCACTGGTCCGTCCGATATAGCTGATATTCAGATTATCATCTCTGATTTGAGAAGTATTTCACCAGCGACGTGGAACTGCGATGCGGCAGGGGACTCCTGAGATGACCACGGCAACGCCCTTTGATCCGCGGTGTGCGTGCCCTCCAACCTAGCTTACCTGCCGACCTACGAAAGAGGAACATGATGTGTTGTGCAGATGTACTCAATCGGTCCGAGGACGTCATCTCAGTATTACAGGAGCATGCATATGCTAAAACGTTTAACCCTTATAGTTTGGAACGTGTATGCTTGAGCACTCGCAACGTTGACCTTGTTCAAACTGCTCAGCATGGCATTTATCCAAGATGCAGATCTTGTTGGATTTCGTAGCACTGCCCGACACATAGTGAACGGCTGGCTAAACCAATGAGACACCAACTAGAGCCAATCAACACAGTCATTTGTGCTTGCCATGAAGTAAGTACACAGAGTTTTCTGACAATTCAGCCACGAGTTTAGTTTCCTCAAGTGCCTGCAAGTCAATTTCGCTATGTGAAGGAACATGTGGCCATCTCTGAGATCTGTCTCGGACTGCCGAACACTGCATAGAGCTAACCAGTTTGATCGATATGAATACCATGCCTACCTGCCCACGAGCACGAATTGAATATTGAGTTGAGTGAGACTCGTTTTGGTAATGGGGGTGAGACTGAACATGACATGGCCTTCTTAGTTCCTGGTGTGGTACTTGACGTTTGAAGCTGCTTCGTCCTTCAGACTGTTCATAGCTGCACATTACACCACATTTGAACCGATAGGTCCACAAACATTAGCAAGTTGCGAAATGAAAGTGGTTAGACGGCCAGACGGCTAGAACTTCTCTGCATCTTCTACCCATGCGAATGTTGTGGCCATTATACATGTCCCGCGATGTTGAACTGTTTGCAACTTGCTCTTGCAAAGACCTTGCTCTGGCCGTGCCTGGCGCTGTTGTTCCCGGCCCTGGCATGGAACTCCGTCACCTGCTTCGAATCGCATGCAGACAAGTACATGCAAATTTCAATCGTATGTACCCATCTGCCCACAAGTGGTGTGTCGCAACTTCTCTGCAACTGAACTTAATACGACATGAAATCACCATATCATATAAATGTTCTTCAGATAGCACTGAGGAACAAAACGGCGAACTGACTTTGCAGCACAGTGTAGCAGAGGTAAAAGCATCAGGCTAGCATCGTAAACAACACCACAGAGGTAAATAATTACATTTACTACTAGTCAGGCCGTGCAAAAGACAAATATGGGAGAGACAAGAAGACAAAGTGAGAGAGTGAGACCGATGGAGAGGGTGAGAGGCAGAGACAGGGAGTGGGGGAGGGAGCGAGAGAGAGAGAGAGAGAGAGAGACAGAGAGAGAGAGAGAGAGACAGAGAGAGAGAGAGAGAGAGAGAGACAGAGAGAGAGAGAGAGAGGGGGGGAGGGCCATAGAGCCCCTATCACCGAGTCTGTTGTCTCTCCAGTCTCCGCCTGGCAAGCTGTAGCCGCCGCGCCGCAGACCATCACAAAACGCACGGAAGCTGGGCCTTGCAAAACAACTTGCTACAAGCCGATCTTCTTGGGCAAGCTCTCGCTGACTCTGGGCTGATGTGGAAAACTAAGCTTTGGGCGCTGCGAGGAGTGTTGCCACAGCAAATGCGCCAGAAACATGCCCAAATTGTGGAGCCTCGACAGCTGCTTGCTTGCACTTGTTTGACAAGCGCGCACTCACCTTCTTGAAGGCACGGCCCGTCCTTTTCGTCACCAGGGGCAACATCTTCGTCTGGCTCCGCCTGCCGCACGCGTGAAAACAGGCGCGCAGATGATGTGCACGTGCTCGTATCCTCCCCACCAAGTTCATAGCGGAGCGTTGCGCAGACCCTGCGAAAGCAAGGCACTTTGGGTTATAAGCAGAGATAGCTTGGGAGCCACTTTGGGGTGCTGGCCTGAGTGCCAGAAGGGACTCCCCGCCCAGCTCGAGGAAACTATCTTCTGGACGTACGCCTGCGAAGCAGTGCAAGCGACGACTTCTGGCAATTGAATCGCAAAGCTTCAAGTCAGTCTGTCTTCAAACTTGGAGCTTCAAAGTGGGTACACATTGCATGCCCCCGGCATGTCACTGACTTAGTAACAGGAAAGGTGTACAGCGTACTTCTATGCACGAGCATCGAACATAACAGCCGAAAGTCTAGACCCGATTCAGTATGTACAATATGCATGCAGCCGTACAAAGCTAAGCTGCATACAAGTATCATCAAGTATCACCAATACAGTATACAGCTCAATGCACTTGTGACACTGCCACGAAGATAGGTCAACACCAAACACGCAATAGGTTTGGAAGCTTCGGGCGCTGTTGGTATGTCACAAGCCTGTATTTGGCGATTGTTCTGAAGGTCCTTGTCTTCGGCTTGTACAAACCCAGCCATATGACGAGGCTCAGGAGTCCGTGCAAGTTTCGCGAAAGACGGAATAAAAGGAACAAGCTGTGTTTTTGTCATATTAGTCGAGAACAAGCGACTAAGACTTTGCGCGCGATGTCTACATGCTTGCGTAAAACCTGTATTTCGCATGCACGCACACAAAAATACACACGTACGCACATACATACATCCGTACATACATACATAACCATCAACAAGCTCCGCGGCAAGCGGGGTCGAAAGGAAAACACATGTGCACGAAAGCTGAATACATACGTACATACATAAGGAGACTAGATACAAAGATAATCATAGACACACACACACACATATATACGTACGCACGGACATACATGCACGCACATATCCAAGAACCATGCATGCTGACAAACATACCTGCATACTGCCATCACGTGTACGTCTAATATACACGTAATCGCGGCTGACAGGCACTAGACTCCATCAACGAGCTCATACACGTCCGATTATAATCATACAGCATCACCCAGCAGCCTCTTGTAGCAGTAGTGATTGGCCGCACGGGGCCTCCTGGTGGCAGCGCCAGAACCCGTCGCCAAACCTGACGCAGTCTTGAGTCTAGGAATTCGGTACGAAGATATGATAGTGTGACCGTTGCCTCCTCCACTTTGGCTTCCAGGGCGTCGTAATGCGGTTTCGACGGCCAGGGCCAAGGCAAACAACCTTCGCATCAACCCGCCGAGCTTACCGACCGACCGGTCGTCGACTCAGGACGGGCCTAGGCAGCCATCGATGCCCATGCGCAGCCACACAGTCATGGTGCATGGCGAGCCGCAACTCTTGCTTGGACGGACGCGCGAGGGAAAGCTGTTGCGTGGTTGGAGGGTCTGACACCTCGCGTCTGACACCTCGCATCTGTGCCATTGCCAAGCCTGTACTGCAAGATGTGTTTCTTGCTACTGGCTGCATCATAACAGTTAAGCCGAAACAGGGATAGTGGTGTTCACTTGGTGCGACGATGTGCACTGGATGCCCCTAACAGCACTCCGCGTGTACTAACGCATGGGTGGTCCACACCAGCTTTTTGCTGCCTCGCGCCTCACGGGGTGTTCAGCTGTGCTCATCCTACAGCGGATTTGTCTCTGAATCTCGACCCTCGGGCTTTTCCATCTTGACCTGAGCAGCAGTGCAACGCCGATTGCTTACCAGGGATGGCCAACTTGCCAGGAGAGTTCATGTGAAAGAGCCCGGCTCAGCGTTCTTATGGTCCGAAGGCCAGCTTGTTGCCCTCAATCATGGATTCCTCAACCTGTCAGTCGGTTTCAGAATCTGCCAGAACTGGCTAGAACAGAGCTGGCAGGAATGAAGGCGCAGCCTGCCTTGTCCTTCGTGATCACGAGAGTCCGCGCGACACCGCCAGAGCTGCCATCGCGACTCATGGCAAAGCAGAGAGCCTTCTGCACGAACCTCAGGGAGAAATTGTCAGCACCAGGAACTAAGCGTTCCCTGACTCGCTCACTGAGCCGTCTCTCTCCGCAGGACAGCCGATGCAATCTGCGTCGGCTGTTTAAGGTGGCGGCTCTAAGCACTCCGCCTTGGACATGCCTGTCAGAACTGAAAGATTTCGCTACTGTAGTCTCTGCCGAGGCTGTCTCTCAGTCAGGTGCAGAGGCATTGCCTGGTCGGTAGTGCGAATCGATGAACCCCTTGATGTAGCCAGAGCCGGATCCGTCGCAGGCCCATGGCACTCGGATACGGGAGCCACCCAGAGGGATGCTATAGACCTGTCATGCGCATACGTAAATCGTCTTGGAGTACACATGAAGCTTCCTGATGACCATGTGGCTTCTGCCCCTGCCTGGCCACCCCGCTTCTCATCGTAGCCTGCCACTATAAGGCCGGCGAGGAGGTTGTCCTGGTGACGAATGCAGTGTCAGCATCCCCATGTTTTTTGCAACATGGGCGAAACACCTTTTTCCAACTTGCGTTGCTCTCGGAGTCCTTGTTGTTGTAGGCGATCATTTTGAACAGGTTTGCTGCCGTGTTCACTGTGGGATCCTTCCTGGACATATAGTCACAGTCTCTAGAAGGTGCATGACAGTCAGAAGTAACTACAACTTGCTAAGAACTTAGGTACCCGATATGAAGCTGTCGGGTGGCCCCAGCTCCACTGCGTGCTGCCCCAAATAGTTGACAACAAAGCCTGTCAGCGCCTGTGACATCGGGTAGATGCTGTTTATGGCTGGCATTTGCTAGAACACTTCTTCGTCGTCGCGGACTCACATGTGCGAACATCAGCACCTGCGTATCAGCAGCACTGCCGCATCGGCACACGAAGATCTTGTTGTGCACCTCGTCGGGTAGTGTTCGCGAAAACTCCGCCAAAATGCAGTAGCAGTGGCAGTAGCTGTAACTGTAGCTTTAGCAGCAGCAGCAGCAGCAGGAGCAAGAAGCAGGAGCAGACAGCAGACGCAGGAAGGAGGAGCAGGAAGCAGGAGTAGTAGCAGTCGCAATGGCAGTAGCAGAAGCAACAGTAGTGGCAGCAGTACTATGGCATCTGTAGTTGTTGTAGCAGCATCAGCATAAGCATGAGCTATCACTCATGTTTACGCATGGTCACTATTGATACCCTGGCGGCTGATCCGATGTTAGGCTTCTGTGGCACAGCGTGCTTGTGCTGCTAGTATTGCTACTGTGGCATTGCTTTCGACAGAGTTCTTGGATACTCTTGCGAGTCTTGCTACTACAGCACCTGCTGCTGCCACTGGGTCTCCGAAACAGAACCCCTGCCCAGATGTGAGCCTTGGAAATCTTCCTCGAAGCTCGATTTGCCACGTACTGTCCTGCGCTGAGTTTGCGAAGCGTCGTCCAAAGACGACATTGGCCACAAAGCACCAAACAGCCTTCGCTACAGCAATGCGATCAGGCCTGTAGAAGTGCGGGAATCAGCGCCCATCACCACACCGCCATCGAATTCAACGGCCATGATTGTCCTTATCCGTACCAAGCTGCTCTCACTGCTCATGGAAGCTGCCAAGGCTACAACGAGAAGGCAACTGCTGCTTTCTCGAACTAGATGAATTTAACTTATGGGTAGGTCGATGCCTCTGCAGTCTAAGGCGAGGGTCGTGCCGGTAGAAACAGCCTGCTCAGGCTTCATCACATCGTCAGCGCGGTAGGGGCACCCCTCCTGGTTTGGGCAGCATGACAAGGATGGTCGAGATTCTGCTAGCCGCCAAGGGTGGACAACTGAGCCGTTAGGGGGAGCACCTACTACGCGAGCTATACACGGTTGCCTGTTCTGACATGTCCGTTGAGAATTCATAGAATTCAAAGACAGGCAAACTGAAGGTCCTCGACATGGCGGGCAAACTCATCCTGTGTAGGCCTTGCAGGTCAGGAGGTTGTGCACAGCTTCGGAAATCAAAACACTGCACATTAGTGATCGCCTCCCTCCGCCAATGCTCAAACGTGTGTCAACCAGCGGATACCGTCTCTACCGAGACCAAGAAGACGCATTTGCTACCGATAACAGGGCTCAAGGACCAGCCTGGCGAGGAGGTCCATGTTGCCTAGTGGCCGAGTCCACTTCTTGAAGCACCGAAGGTTTCTCTGGGTGCTTTCTGAGCAGAAACGGCAGTCGACGTCGCAGCATCCAAAGCAACTGAGCCATCGGGGGCTCTCCCAGATTTAGTTGCTGTGCCGCAATCAGTGGCAACTACCTGGTAGCTGGCATGTGAACTTTGTAGTTTGTAGGACTGCAGCTTAGCAACGCATTTCTCCGTTTCAATCCGGTCATGTCGCTGGCAAAGATCGCACTTCAGGCGTCTCCCATTGTGCCGGGCATTGCGTCATTTCACCTTGCATGGCGCTAGCGTACGCCTCTCGATCTTTGTATGAGCATGAATGCGTGGATATTTATATATAGTTTCTATAGATAAAAAAAGATTCTATAATATAGATATATATATAGATATATATATATATATAGAGTATATACGGCTATATATACAAACACAGCCGTTTACCGAAACAACAATCAAAGCTCATATCGGAGATCTGCACTTGAGAGATTATAAGGCCAGGGCAGCCGAAGCCGGAGGAACATCGACACCCTGCCGGGCCAAGGACCCGCTGTGTAACAGCTTGTCATGAAAACTGAAGGGTGGTATAGGGTTTAGGGTTTAGGGTTTAGGGGTTTAGGGTTTAGGGTTTAGGGGTTTAGGGTTTAGGGTTTAGGGTTCACTGCAGAGGGCCTGCTCAAGCCCTGGATGCCAGTTGTAGGCAGACTGGGCCGGCCTGGCAGAGAGCGTCTTGTCTCCAGCTTAAGAGCTGCTGATGATTTCGGTCTTTTCGGTCCCAATGCACAGCGGCTTGTCAGTTCGTCAGCTGACGATGTAACAAAGAAGACCTGACGACTTGTTCTCGGTGCATGATGTCCAGACATGCACCGACAGCAGACTTGCGCAGCTACATCTGGAAGTCTGGAAGCCTCCGCGATGTCTGCAAGACACTACGCACAGCTTCTAATGCAAACACCATGGCTTTTGCGCCGTGATGATCAGATATCATCAGCCATCGCAAGGACTCCGGGATGCACCAGCGTTTTCTGGCAACACGGGGAGGATCTCTTTCAAGCCCAGCCCAGCCCAAAACAGGAGCCTAGCCCAACCTAGCCCAGCTCCAGCCCAACCAGGGCGCACAGAGCGAGGCAGGGCAGATAGCTAGCAAGACGCAGCCATACGCAGCCCGCGGGAGTTTCCCGGTGAGAGCTCTTTGATGCCAGCCTCCTCCCCCATTCCGGTGATCTTCTGCTGCCCAAGTTTCTTCCGCCTTCTGAACGGGAGTCTTGGTGACAAGTCGTAGTGGGCTCTGCTGCCGAAGCCTAACCACTACACTACGTACGGCAGCGGAGGCTGACACCATGGCAGGACGGGGCAGGGCGCTCACATCGAGGAAGCAGCCGCCCCAGTCCCAGCGAGTCGTCTGGGGGCCGGAGGAGACGCCCAAGGGCGTGTCAAGGTTCGTCCAAGTTCACACGGCCACGTACGATCGACGATCGCACAGGTCGAGGAATCGGCGGTGAAGCATTGCGCCTGCACCGGCTTTCAGTGAACAAAAATCGTAGCGGGGAGATAGCGAGGTGAAAGTGGACAGCACTGGAGCTGTTGCATGCTATTCCTCGAATATCCACCGCATCTGACACGACGGGCCTCTCCTAAATCCGACATTTTCTGTCGCAGCAAGCCCCACGACCGTTTCTGTTTGCGCCCTCTGGCTGATGTTCTAATTAGAAGGGGTCTTGAGAGGCCGCAATGGAGGCTACAGTACGGACGTCAAAGACGCTGGGTTACCCATAAGTCCTTGCCCTCTCCCAGCTGCCTGAAGCAAGGTGTCTAACCATGAGCACCTGCAGTAAGCAGTAAGCGGAAGGAAGGCATCTGCGGAACAGAAAGAACAGATAGAGACCGAGAAAACTTGTGGAGGATATCTGCCACTGCACGGCGCACCGGGCACCTCTACAATCTGGCAGAGCACGCAGAGACCCTGGATGTTGTTCTCGTGGACATCTCGCGCGCTGCTACACGCGGCCGTCCTTCTGGAAGAGCTTCCCGACCTTGCAACAGGCCCCCGTGACGTGGAGCCGCTTCGACCCAGATGATGAACAGCTGGTGCCTTGTTCCCGACCAGAGAAAGGCTCTTGAGTAGCCACGGGGCTCACCAGCTACGCCTCGAGGAGTCTTCGCAGTGCCATCCCCCAAGCAAACTTACGGCTGAACGCCTTCATCCACACAGCGAAGACCGAGGACGAGGCAAA